AATGCTTACTAAAAAAATGACCAAAAAAACCAACCTTGTACAGAACCAAAAATTGAAAAGAATTAAAATACTTGAAATCTCTGAAAGAACATCAAATGCAAATGAGATGTAATTAAAATTCCATGGAAGGGCTGGGACGATAGCTAAGTGGTCTAAGCACCTGCCTGGCAAGAACAAGGACTCGGGGTTTGGTCCTGGGTACCTCATGCTGTGCTGGCCACTGAAACTGGGTGTGGTGGCGCATGCCTGTAATCCCAGCGTTGGGGAGGCTGAGACAGGACCACTACTTGTGTAGTGAGATCCTGTATCAAGTAAATAAATACATAAAATTTTTTTAAACTAAACTAAAATCCCATGGAAAACTTAATCTCTCTTGCCTTCTCCCCCCTCATAATCATTCACAGGGGACGACATTTCAGGACTTTTTTTTTTGTCTGTCCTTCCCCATCCCTATCCCAGTATCCATTTATTCTTTTTTTTTTTTTTTTTTTTTTTTTTTTTTTTTTTTTTGTAGAACCGGGGATTGAACTCAGGCCCTTGTGCTTGCCAGGGAAGTGCTTATTCCACTGAGCCATCTCCCCAGCCCCTCCATTTATTCTTTAAAAAAAAAATAAATTTATTTATTTGATACAGGATGTCACTACGCAGCTCCTTTCTCAGCCTCCCCAGTGCTGGGATTACAGGTAAGTGTCACCAGCCCTGCTTTCCCAGCTGGCAAGGCACACCCAGGATTCTGGGGCCAGCATAGCATGCAGTACTGGGGATCAAACTCTAGTCCTTGCACTTGCTAGGCAGGCACTCAGACCACTGAGCTATCTCCCCAGCTCTACTTTCATGTTTTACAGAGAACTTAACAGTTTTGGCCCACAGATCAAATTTGACCTATGCATGCATTTGAGATATTTTATGACAAATTAGCTATTAACATTTACAGTTTGCAAATGACACTTTGTCCTATTTTACCACTTATTATATGTGGCCTCTGTAGCTAGCAAGTTTTGTAATTTTTGATTTGTGTGTATTTGTGTGTGTGTGTGTGTGTTTGTACTCCTGGGGACTGAACTCGGCCTTTGAACTGAACAATATCCCCAGCCCCCCACCCCGCACCCTCCATGTAAAGTATTTTGAGAGAGGTTCTAATTAAGTTGCTAAATTTCCTAGGCAGGGCTCAGACTTGCTGTCCTCCTGCCTCAGCCTCCTTGAGCTGCTGGGATTACAGGGGTTTGTCATCACATCCATCTGGAGCTTGTGCTTTTAATGTTACCTTTTCTGATGTAAATTAGTCTCTATCAGAGTCGGTCCAAATTTTGCAACTTTTTTCTATCTGGTATACTAAGTGGCAAAACAAAAGTTCTGTGGACCTTGAGAACTGTCAAGAATCAAGATGAGTTATAGCTTTTGGGCACTATAAACAATAATATCCCTGTAGAAATCCTCATCAATCAGAAAAGAGAAAGGATACATTACTGGCCATATTACTGTAAAACTTCTGGCTGGAATGGCAAGCTCAGCTCTGAGGGAGTAAAAGGGAATGGTAATGATCCATCTGTGCCTATGACTGTCAGACAGTCAGCGGCTACCGGTGAGGTTGCACACACCTGCAATCCCAACACTCAGGATGCTAAACTAGGAGGAGCAAAAAGAGTTAGAGGCCAACCTGAATTGCATAACGAGATCTTTTATTAAAAAAAATAAATAAAAAATTAGAGATGAACAAAATTGGTCTCTTTGAAGAAAAAAGAAAGCAGGTTTTGGAACCTGCCAAAAACAAAAGACGGTATTACAGTGATATCACGGAAACATCTTAGGGCAGGCCAAATAGCTCAGCGGATTGGGTTCGATTCCCTGGCCCCGGCCGGGCCCCGCCCCTGGAGCATGCCGAGCCAGATCACGAGGAGTCCGATGTAGTAGTGAGACCCTGTAGGCCCTTCCCTAAAATACAAAAAAGAAAAAAAAGAAACATCTTGATAAGGAAACATAGTGTAATTTACTTGCCATAAATAATATACATACCTCAAATGACAAGTCCAGAGAAAACTTACTTTCTGTGCGATGTATCTCCTGTTGGGTTCTGATGTAACAAAAAAAGTTTTGCATGTTCCAACCTATTTCTTCATTCTGTCCTTTAAATCTTCCTTCTATTTGTCAATGGCTTCAATTAGGCTAAAGATACCAAGCAAATTTTGTGGTATTTAATATTTGCTACAGTTTTCTTTCTAAAACAGAGATTTCATTAAAAGGTAAAAAACAAGAGCACAAAAATATCAAAAACTGTATTAGCAATATATGTATACATTCAGACTTTTACATTACCTTTTAGTGAAGGGGAGTAATTGTTTCAATTTGCAGAGAAGACTGGCTAGCTTAATGTGACTGCAGGACTGACATCTATTTCTTAACTGCATAGTTTTAGAAAGCAGATCTGAAAGAGATGGAGGGAGGTAAAGAGATTAAAAACAATTATTAAAAAAATTAAGATGTATTACGTGCATGTACTGATTCTCTACAAGGAATGTAATTATATACTACAAACATGCCCTACTAAAAATAGTACATTAAAAAAAAGAGTTGCCCTTCACTCTGCGATTGGGTCTTTTCTACTCCTCGGGGTGGAGCCACGGCATCCTATTCTCCTATAAGAGGACAGTGATAACCACTGTTTGGATCAGCAGTCCTACATCGCTCTTTCCCTCCTTTTTATCTAACTGGTCTGCAAAACCTCCAAGTCTGGAGGCTGCTGTGTTTATACACAAGACTCTGGGAAGCTCCTCAACGTACTGGAGAGTTTCTCTGGCGAGGGAAGTCACTTGGAGTGAGCCTACTACTGTAGGAATCTGCAGAACAGAGGCACATTCTAGAGATGACATACCAGATATCTCACCATAATTGTGTATAGCAAGAAAGTTATCTTTACTATTCAACCTGTGTTCCAGTAAATCCCTGGATTTTCTTGGCATTTAAATAAAGAAAACCAATGGTTTATGACAAGTTCTGTAAGGGAAAAAGTGTTTTCTTTCTTAAGATTTTAGAGGTGTTAAGCCCTTTCGAAAACTCCAAGGAAGGCTGCAATTCTGCTTGAGAACCAAGTGAATTTTTTTTTAAAAAAATAGTATAACATTATAAAGTTGAGCAATTCCAAACTTCCCAGGAGTCTTCCAAGAACAAGGGTTAAAATGAGACAAATTTGAATTACTATGCAGAAGAGTATAAGGCTTTTCTTTTGGCACAAACAAGACAGGCCAGAGGTTAAAAGCCTTTATTCTAAGCACAGGATAGCTGCAGGAAACGGCAAGAACCCTCCGCGAGGAGGAAGAGGATGTGTACTCATCAGGCTGGGCTGGGAGTGGAGTTCACAGGGCAGTTCTGGGGTCCTGTCAAGAGCTGATCCGGGAATTGTTGGGGGTGCAAGTAGGAAACTGAGGTTGGACCAGGAGGAGGAGGAAGGGAAATTATTCTTGGAGCAGCCATTGCTGTTTGCTCTCCACTCCACGCTGGACTGCTGCCGCAATGACTGGCAGATTTCTTTATATGGGCGGAAACCCATCACAGAGAACACTTCACATTGTCCCACACCGAAATGTACCTGCTAGATCAAGCAGAACCACGGCCTTGTGCACAGGAGCTTTCATAACACTGCAGTTAATTTGACCATGACGTGTGCTTGAAACGCATGGCTGATAATCTTGCTCAGGGCAGTACCTTGAGATAAGCACTACCTGTCACTAGGGCCTAGCAAAGAAACGATTTTCTGTGTCGCAGCAAGCAAGAGCAGGGAAGCAGAAGTACTTGTAACTACATATTTTTACTATTAGTTATACCATTATGTCATAGGGAACCCAGGAATTTAGATCACAACATACGGGCTTACTATATCTCCAAAAATCACTAAGAAAATATGGTAGGAAATTATTTGATAGGTTCCAGCCCGAGTATAAATTGCTGAATTATAATGGTGGTCGCCTAACATGGTTGAAGCTCAAAAACAGCAGCTTATCTTCCCAATGGCCACTCCCTTCTTCATCCCCAGCCCTGAACGCAACTTCCTTTGAGCTCACCGGCGTGCACCAGGGAAGCCCCACTCAGCTCCTCCGGTGTCACCGAAGCTGCCCCCCAAACTCTGCCCTTAGCAAAGTCCATAAAACCCCAGCTCCCCTTTTGCTCAGGTCAGCGGATCCCTGCCATGTTCCTGCGGTCTTCTCTGTCTTTTCTTTTGCATCTCTGCCGTGTCGAAAAAGACCAGACAATCTTATTTGCTTATGCGTGCTCCTATTCCAAGAATCGGTTACTTTTTGCATATAAGTAGCAAAGAGAACAACACTTGTGCATACACACACCTGCCTCGGGGCAAATGCTTAGTGGCTAAGCCTCACACACCAAACGCTGGAGTCCCGGCCACAGCACGCGCTCGCAGACCCGCTGCAGCCTGCAGCTCTCGCTGCCGCGCCCCCGGCCTCCTCCCGCGCCCCACCCACACGCACTCGCGCCCAGCCGCCGACCTCCCTTTCCCCGTCTGGCGGGCGTCTGGCCAACCCAGCGGGTGGGCACCCCGCGCTTCCCACGTTCTCCAGCCTAGCGGCAGCAGGCGCCCTCACCGGCGCGCAGCCTCCCTCTCGGATCTCCGCGGGACCTCCCCCGAGCACGCTCGCGGCGCAGGCCTTCCCGGGGGGACACGTCGCTGGGCCGCTCTCGCGCTCACTGCTCAGAGTCGCGGCAGCCCTCAGTCGAAAGGTCCGCGCTCCGAGGTCCGTACGCTGCTAAACGGGACGCCCGGCCAGCAACACCGCCGCCGTGCGCACCCGGAGCCTTCCCAGCCTCCGCGCAGTTCCCGGCGCGCCCGACTTCCGTTCGAACCTCCCGCGCGGCCGGGCCCACCAATCACAGCCGTCTTTTCTCAGGGCCCCGCCCCGCCCGCGCCCCTCCGGAACCCCACCCTCCCTGACGCTTCTGCGCGGTGACGTCACCCGACGCTGCCGTCGCCCCGCCCAGTGCCTGCGGCCGGCCGTTGGGCGGTGTCGCGCTTGGGCTCCGCCTGCCGCCGCCCCTCCGGCGCGGCGCGCATGTGGGGCTTCAGGCTCCTGCGAGCCCCGTCGTCGCTGGTCAGATCGCCGCCGCTCGCAGTCAGAGACGCCCCGGGCCGCCCGCAGGCGGGAGCCATGGAGCCGGGCGGCGCCGGGGCGCGCGGCTTGCGGCCGGCCGAAGGACTCCGCCTGCAGCTGCGCGCGGTGCCCGGCGCAGACCCGCAGCGCAGCAACGAGCTGCTCCTGCTGGCGACCGCGGCGCGGGCCCGCCCTGGGGACCCGGCGGGCGAGCAGCACCACGTGCTGTACTTCCCCGGGGACGTGCAGGTGACGGGGCGCCGCCGGGCAGGGGCCGAGGAGGGGCCTGGGGAGCCCGGGGACCGAGGGCGGCCTGGCCGCGCACAGTGCCCGTCGGGCCGGGAGCGGAGCTGGCTGAGTGAGCTCAGCACAGTGCGCGGTGTGGAGAGCGCGCCAGTTTAGAAACGAGCAAACAGGCCGCTACAAAGCTGACGCTCCGAGTAGCCCTAGCGTGCGGTGCTGCCGGTGCCGAGCCGGACTGTCGGAATTGGCGCTCACCTACAATAGCCTGTTTTTTTATTTTTGGATATTCTGCGTGCCTTGATTTTATAGCCGTAGACTTCCGAGGGGAGAGTTAAACCCAAGGCTTTCGTCCTGATCTGCACCCCAGCTTTCTGTTTGCTTTTGAGATAGGAGCTCACTAAGTTGCCTGCCTCGAATTTACCCTTCGTTAGCCTCCCAGAGGGCTGGGATTACAGGCATGTGCAGACACCAGCTTGGCTAGTTTGTCTTGTTAATTTTATAGCTGTGGGCAAATATCTTTGCGTGCGTTGTTCTGCAACCTGAGTTTTAGTCTAAAACTGTATTGATATGTTAGTCTTCAGTCACATGGAGATACTTAAAATTAATTAAAATTAAGTAAACTTTAAGATCCAGTTTCTTGGTCACGGTACCTGAAAGTGCCCGTCACCATTGGTGGCCGGGGACTGTGTCGGGCACATTCTCCCAGAGCACCGACATCAGCCCGGGGAGTCTTTTCAGTGGGCTCAGTGTGCACAGCCAGGAGAGCTGTGGTCGGTGCACCCCGCGTGCGGGCTTTTGACATTGGCGCTTCAACGTGATCTAGTTAAAAGCTTTGCACCCCGAGCTAGGTAATGCTAAAGACATACCTAGTGTTTTCTCTTGCCCTCAACTAGCGGGTCTAGTTGACTGCTAGGAAAAATTAGTATTTATAGACTTAAAAGAACATTTACTCAGTGGCTGTCTTTGAGCTCAGATTGGAGAAGGGCATGTTGTGTATCTGACACTGACTTCCAGAGATTTGTGACCAACTCCTTCATGCCTGCCTATAGCGGTGGTGATAGTCCTAGCAGTAATGATTAGCATTTATTGGGCATTTTACTGTTTCTTGAAGTATCCCAGCCAGAATACAGTATAAATCTTCAGATGAGCTCTAAAGAGTTCTACATGTAGCTTGTGCATTACCTTTTCTCATTTTGAGGACACCCACCTGTTTATGTAGCCTGAGGTTCCAGTACTTTTGTGACAGTGACAGTTTTTATTTGCAAAGTAGGAGGTCCTCTAAATCCCTAGGTCTCTAAAAAGGAGAAGAAAATGCAGCAAAAGGCTGTGAGCCTCCATTACCCGGGCTTCAACCCCGATTCTGTGCTTTTCCCATTCCAGTCTTGTCACTGGGAGCTAATCAAGGGAATACTGTTCAGATTTGTGTCACCTTCTATGGAGTCTGAACTGACGGTCAAAATCTAGGTTTATTTTATTAACTATAATTTCTAAGACTGAGGACCTTGGGTTTCTTAGGTAAGCCCTTTCAGATCTGCGTGCCCATAAGTTTATGTTAATTGCATATAGCGTAGATCTTGATGTGTGGAAGGTAACAGCAGAGTCCATAATGAGGTACAGTAGGACAGCCGTCAGAAGTCATGAACAGAATAAAGGGAAAATTGCCAGGAAACAAAGATTCAACGTAATTAGGAATTAGAACATCCAAATTAAAGCGAGACACCCTTTTATCTTGGTAGCAAGAATTGTTTAAAAGCTTTAATGCTACCGCCCACAGCCCTTGTGGCTCTGCTTTGCCTCCTGCAGCACCACCACCACCACCTGTTAGCATCAGGAAGAGGTAAGGATGTGGGGAGACATCCAGATCTGCACGAGGAATCATGCTTGTAACACATTTTTAACAAAGCTATGTATGTATATAAGCTTGTTGCTGTGGGGGAGGAAAATAACGTTCTGGATATGTAATTACATGTATATACGTGTAAGCTGGAGAAAATGGACTGTCAGATAACAGCATTTAAATGATTATTTCCAATCAGCGGCATAGTACTTAGATTGAATTTTTGTAGTGTTACATTTATTCTGTTTAAGTGTTGAGGAAAAAAATGTGCATTTGCTCAGAATTCAGAGAGCGAAGTTAACAGTCTGAAAAGCAGGTCTCGCCCCACTCTCCCGTCTCCCATCTCCACTGCCCAGGGCTACTGCCACTGCCTCTTGTCGCGCGCACACACAGGCACACAAGACAGACCTTCCGGAGATGTTTTACAAACCATGAAGGGCAGCAGAGCCACAGTTTCTCTCCCACGTGCTCTGGTCAACACTCCAGCAAATCTTGCTGACTCTCATACCAAATGTTCTTAGAATGGACATGCCCGCCCGGCACCTGCAGCCAGCCGGAGTCCGTGTCCGCCAGCCCAGGAGGAGCGCGGTGCCTCCTGCCAGCCGGCCTCCCTGCTTCCGCTGCTGCCCTCCACACACTGGAGCCAAAGTCACCGTTTCGGAATGGCCGGGGAATCTGCCCTTGCTCCTGACCCTTCCAGAGCTGGAGCTGCCCTCCTGCCCCTAAACTGTCCTTGCCCCATCCCTGCAGCCACATCTGATCTTGCCTTCTGTCTGCTGTGCCTGCCTGTGCGCCTCCACCTGAGGGTTCGCACAGCTGTGGCTCCGCCGAGCTGGCCGTGGCTCCCTTGGGCCTCTCCCGTGCTGAAGAAGCCTCTCCGCCGTTCTGTTAACTGCCACCCTCTCCAAAGCCTCATGCTCTTTTTCCCCATCCTGTTTCCACCGCACTTGCCACCGTGTACTGGGTCTCATCCCACCTTGTGGCAGCCACGAGCGGTTGTTGACCACTAGATACCTTTAGTCAAACCGAGGAAAAGCGCTTTTTCCCTGCAGTTTGGTTCACTTAAATTTAAAACCTGGTAATTCATCTAGAAAACTTCAAAGTATATTTGGAACAACTTGACTTGTGAATCTCCTTTTTCAACCATAAAGTTGATGAAACCTAAGTTCAGATCAAATATTCCCCATAAAAGTTAGCAGCTAATTTGAGATGTGCTGCACACTAATTTTCAGACTTGGTAGAAGAAAAAGATGATCAGGGGGAGATCGGGGGATGATCAAGCTAAAAGATGATCAGGGGGGAGAGTGAGTGTGTGTGTGTGTGTGTGTGTGTGTCTTCCTGGGGTTGAATATAGGGCCTGGTACGTGCCAGGCAAGCACTCCCTGAGCGCCATCCCCATCCTTTTTGTTTGCAGTCAGGGGCTAGATGATCAGCTTGGGTAGGCCTTGAATTTACCATCCATCCTGCTTCGACGTCTTAAGTGACTTGAGATTGTTTTGAGGCAAGGTGTCACTGTGGCGCAGCCTGGCCTTGAACTCAAGGATCCTCCTGCCTCAGCCTTCCAGTGTTGCGATTATAGTCATGCACCACCACCCGGCTTATGAGTGGCTGAGATTACAGTGTGCACTTGGCTCTCTGTAATCTTCTGTATTGGCGATACGCTGATAATGTCTGATGTGTTAGACTCAATGAAATGTCATTAAATTAATTTCTTAATGTTTTACATGCTTAATGTGGCTTCTAGAGTGTGGCTCCCACTGTCTCTCTGTTGGGTGCTGCTTCTCCATCCGCTTGGGTGTCCAGCGAATTTCACAGGAGGAATAGATTGGAATGAATGACTCATATAGAAAAAAGTCACTATGAATAAAAATTAAATGTAAAGCAAAACACATACAATGAGCATAAAGTCAGTGCATGGAGGCTGCTCTATGAATCAGCAAGCTCCAAAGACAAAGGATGCGAATGAGGAAGAGATGAAATCCAGCTCATAAATCACGAACAGAATTTTAGCTTGATTCTCATTTTCAGTGAATTCAAATTTGAATAATTACCCTGTGCCATGACATTTAACAAAGAAATTATGTGTGTCTCTGGATACAGTTCTGTAGTCTGTATCACTAGCCTTAGATAGGAATAATTTTGGCCTGGGCTTTCCATATCTGGGGATTTATCTTGAGATAATCACAGATGGGAACAAAACGCTTTCCACGCAGGTTGCTGCAGCGTTGTCAAGGCAACAGGACTGAACCAGGCAGCATTCAGGTTTCTCAGCATCCTGGTAGCAGTGCAGGGCGGCAGCTCGCTGGGAGGGAAGCGTTTTAAATTGTGCCTTGCTAGGGCTGGCCAGATAGCTCAGCGGATTAAAGGGTCTGCAAGAAGGCGCAGGAGCCCTGCCCCTGGGCACAATGAGACAGACTGGGAGCAATTGAGACTGGACGCAGTGGTGCGCACCTGTAATCCCAGCTCTTTGAAGGCTGTAAACGAGTCTGATCTAGTAGTGAAACCCTGAACACCCTGTAGACCCTTCCCTAAAATACAAAAAAAAAAAAATTCTGCCTTGGTCGAAAAGTCCATGTCATGAACCAGATTTTATCTTTTCAGTTAAGTAGCAAATGTATACTAAATCTATGACTCCTAAACTTACTTAAATTCTTACTATTCATTATCTGTGTGTCTTACTAATCTCTTACTGGATTTGAAGTTTACACTGACGAAGTGATTTGTTAACCATTTTACAGAGTCAGGTGTGGTGGCATATTAACTGTGATCCAACTTTTTGGGAGGCTTAGGCAGGAGAAGTCCAAGTTTAAGATCAGCCTGGGCAGTTTTGCTAGACACTACAAAATTAAATTGAAAGGGCATCCAGGAATGGTGGCACATGCCTGTAATCCCGCTCGTGGGGAGCTATGGCGGCAGCAGCACTAGAGCTCAAAGCCAGTCTAGGCTATGTAAGTTCAAAGACGACCCTAATTCTAGAACATGGCCCTGTCTCAAAAAGCAGAATAAGTGAAAAGGGTTGTGGGCATGTAGCTCAGCCCTCCCTGAGTTCAATCCCTATTTAACACAAAAGGAAAAAAAAATTTGTAATAGCAAGTGATGACTGATTCATAGTTTGTATTTCTAGTACATTAATCATAGGTCATTATCACCTTTTAAATCCCTCACAAAAATGGGAAATTTCATGGAAATAAGTTTGTGTACATCTGTACTGACTTCATTTTTTTACCTTTCAGAATTACCATGAGATTATGACCCATCATCCCGAGAACTACCAGTGGGAAAACTGGAGTCTAGAAAACGTTGCCAGCATTCTAGCGCAGCGGTTTCCCAGTAGCTACATCTGGGTGATAAAGTGCTCTCGAATGCATTTGCACAAGTTCAGCTGCTACGACAACTTTGTGAAAAGCAACACGTTTGGTGCCCCAGAACATAACACTGACTTTGGAGCTTTTAAGCACCTTTATACACTATTAGTTAATGCTTTTAACTTAAGTCAGAATGGTGTGCTGTCGAAGAATGGGAATGTTTGGCATAAGGACTCCAAAGCATCCAAATCTAATTCTCCGTCTGCTAGTAATGGTTGCCAGGGAGAGAAAGAAAGGACCTGTGAAAAACGAGACGAGCCTGCCGTGAGTTTTTATCCACCATCACTAAATGGTGCATCTTTTACTTTGATTGGATTCAGTAAAGGATGTGTTGTTTTGAACCAGTTGCTTTTTGAATTGAAAGAAGCTAAGAAAGATAAGAACATAGATGCCTTCATCAAGCGCATAAGAAGAATGTATTGGCTGGATGGCGGTCATTCCGGAGGAAGCAGTACGTGGGTTACCTATCCGGAAGTCTTAAAAGAATTTGCACAAACAGGGATTGTTGTTCACACTCACGTAACACCTTACCAAGTGCGTGACCCCATGAGATCTTGGATTGGAAAGGAGCACAAGAAATTCGTCCAGCTGCTTGGGGACTTTGGCGTGCAGGTGACAAGCCAGATGCACTTTGCAAAGGAAGCGCCTTCCATAGAGAATCACTTCAGGGTTCACGAAGTATTCTGAGATGAGAATAGTGATGTCCAAGAGAAGGGATGGAAGCACTTGGAGCGTTCACAGGTTCAGAAGGGTGGGGTGTATGGTGGGATTCCCGGATGCACTGTCAGACTGGGGCTGGGGAGAGCACACATTCCTAAAACACAAGTGGCATGTGCAGTAGTGCCTTTGCTTGGGAGTGTGGGCAGTTTGTGACGTGGACTGGGCTAGAATTAACAGTTAATTTGAAATCTAAAATGATTAATGATAACTCTGTGAAACGCAAGACTCTTAGAACTGAAAGCTAATAATGCAGTCATTTTTTAAAGGCAACTAAGACTGTTGGAAACAGTTGATTTTTCTGAGTTATGTTTAAACTAACTGGGGTAGATAATAAGAATAATTAGCTATTTTGGCACCCTAAAAGAATGGAAACATTCTTTCTCAGAGTATAGGTACCCACATGTTTTCCAGCAATTTGGAATAACTATCCTGCCTTTTGTATTTGGTAAACGTAAGGATTTGTGTGTATGTGTGTGTGCACGCACAGGTGTGCAGGCGTGCGTGTTTAGTACTGGGGGTCGAAGCCAGGGCCTTACTCCTGCCAGGCAAACAGCACTCTTACCACCGAGGTGTACCCCACGCTGGTCATGCTTACAGGACCACCAAGTTTTTATTTTTCCTTGAGAGCCAAAATGTTTTATTTCCAAATGCCCAAAAACATGTAGTATAAAATTGGTTTTTAAAACATGTTACATTTAAGTATCATGGCTTAATTTCTGTGGTTTTGCTTTTCCAGTTCCTGAAACTTGGTGAAGTAGAAATACATATATTGGACAGAAGTGTGACGAAGATTGCAGGTTTTCAGCATATCACTCTTTGAGAGAGACCAACTCAGGTGAATCAGATACGTAATGCTTTGTTAGTGCTGTGTTGCGAAGAAGGCAGATCCCAGGGATCTAAGTCAGGTTTCCAGAACACGATTTTGTATGCCAAAAGAAAAGAGCTCTGTTTGGCTAAAATGCAAAATTACATTGCTGTAATTTTGAAAAGTTTAAAGGGAAAGTTTGAAGACACAAATGACTTAATTTTGGCTCCAAAATCAAATTTGCTTAACACTGCTACAAGACTTGGTGAAGTTTCCTTCTGCTTCGTTTTCCTGACCTAGATAAATATATCTTGAGAAAGCAGTTTCAGCCAATCCTGAAACATAGCCATGTAGTTACCAAAGGGGATCTCTTTTATATTTTATTAATAATTAGCTTTTTCAGGTCATAAAATAAGCAGGGAAATAACACACTGCTTTAGGACTGAAAAAAAAGACACTGAAAGCATTAGTCTTAACAACCCAGAGACCTAAATTTATTAAAATAAAATGAGTTTCTTGGTTTTTCTCTTACTGACTATAAATGCATTCCAAATAGAGTATTCAAAAACATGAGAAGAGCTGCTTTACCCAGATGATAATAAAAATTAGCACTGAGTTCTATAAACCTAAAGTCGTCTAAGACAAAGTAGGTTTTTTTTTTTCTGGAACTGGGGAGTGAACTCAGGCCCTTGCGCTTGCCAGGAAAGCACTTATTCCACTGAGCCATCTCCCCGGCCCCTATGCAAAGTAGCTGTACATTGTTCCATTTTCTTCACCTGTTCTTTCGAGACCAAAGATTCCCATCACGTAACAGTCTGCCTGACTGAAGCCTGTCACAGATAACCTTGCTGCACGCATGGTGATAGGTTTTCCTCAGTGTGTGTAATCCTTGGCTAAACTGGCCTGTATTTTGCCATAGGTGTGGCTGCGCAGCAGCGTGGCTGCCGAGGCCGTGAAGCCCTGGGTTCAACCCCCAGCACAGCCCCCAGGCCCCAAAACTGACCTGTGTCTAGGGAAAGGCTTTTATCTTTACAGGGTAAACTTAAATGAGAAGTTTGAGCTTTTAAAAGAATCCACTTTTTAAAATCTGAGGTATTTAAAAATCCGAGTTCTTGAGCCATGCAGTCACGTGGGTGCTTTCTCGGACATGTCCTGTCTCAAGTGCGTATGGGTGTCATGCCCCAGACCGGGCATCACATCAGAGTGGAACTGTTTATAGGACGAGTATTTTCATAATGAAAGTAAATGCACGCTGATCACATGTCGTGTGGCTTCTGGGACAGGGACAGGGCCTTTCTGTCTGTGCTTGTGGACGGTGCCTTCGTCATGAGTCAGCTCAACAAAGTTCTAAGGATAATGTGCAGGTTGTCGCCGCCACAGTGTGTGCATAACTGTATTAAAATTAATCTACAGACGTGTTTGGATGTGGGTTTTTCATTAAGATTTGAGATCACCATTTGGAAAATGTTAACTGTGTCAGTTTTTAAGACTTTCTGTTGACTTCCATGGTCTGCATAGTGCAACACCTCTTCTACTGTTTAGACAGGCCTTCACGTGTCGTTCGGGCTGGCCTTGAACTTACTGTGTAACCCAGGCTGGCCTCCAGTTCTCCGCAGTCCTCCTGCCTTAGCCTCCCAAATGCTGGGATCACAGGCCTGTGACACCATGCCCAGCTCATCTTAAATTACTCAGAATGCACATTATATCCATTTCTTCTGTTGGGTTTCCTAAAGAACCAAGTCTTTTAACAAGTAAGTTATTTTTCTTTACTAATTATTCTGGGTATCTGTATTCCTTTAGTTCCTTAAGAAACTTGGTTGGAATCTGGTTTGATCCATTTTTCATTTCATGTAGTATCTGAACACCCACCAAATGCAGGAGGGCTAGGCCTGTGATGGTGAACCTGTGGCACACACACCCCGCAGCTGGCTGTTACTAAAAGTACTAAAAGGCTCACCATCACTGGTGTAGGCAGTGTACAGCACCAGGTCCTAGGACGTCAGTCTGGAAATGGATAGTGGCGCTAAAGCTTCGGGGCACACAGGAAACAAGGTAGCATCATGCACGGAAGGCAGGGCTGTTGTGGGTGACTGGGTCTGGGCGCTCAGCCACACGTGCTGCGAGGACGTGGGCCCTGCATGGAGGCGGCCATGGCATGAGGCCTAGAAGAGTTCTCCCTCCTGGTCACTGCTGTTCCTGCCTGCCGTCGTCTGAGCGCTTTTGCCCACCGAGGCCTTCTCACCAGGCCCTTCCTGCCTGGAGCCAGCACACCTCCAACTGCAACTGACCAGGGGAAACCCCCTCCTCTGGGTTGTGGGTGTCGGAGGGGAGTCTTGGCAAGGAGGTGACAGGGCCTTCGAGTTGAGAAACGTGCATTAGGGCAGGCCTGGAATCCACGCTGCTCTGCAGAGGTAGAGGCAGAGGCCCAGCAGCTTGTACGCAGTAGGCCGTGGTGACGGTGGGATGACTGGGATGACCGTCCCAGTCTTTATTTCTAGGTGTGTGCAAGACCCCCAGTGCTCACGGCACGGCCCATGGGCCTGAAGCGAGGTGATGCGGTCAGTGAGCTCCTCCAGAGCACGTCTAGCCCTGAAGGGAGAACCTGCACGGCTCTGCTCCGACCAGGCCCGCATTCTGACTGCCGGCATTTTAAAAAATGTTTCTGGTCATATCTTAAGACCCAGTGTCACTGTCTGCGGGCTTTGTAGGTGACAGCAGCTTCGTTGCTAGCTTCTTGCTGAGTGTTCACAAATCTGCTCTGCAAGGACAGGAGGCCGTGGAGCAAGCTGCGCTCAGTTTCTCCTGATGCTTTGTGAAAGACGTCTGCAGTTGCCGAACAGCATTCCAGTGAACTCTGCTATGATACGCTCCGCGAGAGGTGAATTCTGACGCTGCAGACACAGTATGATCGCGAACATAAATTCAAAAATGTTTGGCTACCACGTCGTCTTTTTTTATGCATTTGGTACAGGGTCTTCCAATGATGTTTTGCTTTTTCGTCTCCCTGGAGCTGGGACTACAGGTGTGTGCCACCACTCCCAGTCTCAGTGGCAGGCCCAGGGCAGGGCCACCAGAACACAAGGTACAAGGACGGAACCAGGTCCTTGTGCTTGCCAGGCAGGCGCGTAGACCACTGAGCTCTCTCTCCAGTCCAACCATGCCTTGCTTTCCTGTCCTGTGTCATTGCGTTGGAAAAGCCCCAGGCTGTACCAAAACGTCCCCCTGCCTTATTCTTCAGCAGTGTCATACTGCTTCTGTATTATACTCTACCATCTATTAGTTCATTAGTGTTATTTTGAATCCTTGTGTATCTAGCAAGCAATGAGAACTTTTGTTGGGAAAAAGAATTCCTTTGTGCATGATGTCAGGCTCCCAACTCGAAGCAAAGAAAGTACGATCTGCTCAGAGATGTCAGGTGTGTTGCACACAGGGAAACACAGAGCGACTGACACAGTCACCCAGACTGCTGCGCTTCATCCCAGCTGCCTGCACCTGTAATCCGGGTTAATTAGGTACTTGAAAATTCCTTCCAACAATAAAAAAATTTAGAATCCTTGAAAAGTTGTACTGAACATATGTTGTGTATTTTATTTGGCCCTAACCCAGAAGCCAAAAAAGATAAAATTTTGACTCTAAAATTTTCCCTAATGGTAAAAATTGCAACCAGGGAAATAATTTTAAAACACCCCAAAGTGTTCATTTGTAGCTTTCTAAGTACTCGATACTGCCAGAGGAGCTACCCGCAGTTCTCGGCACAGAAGCCTCTGGCTACAGTGTGTCCAGGCCCTCAGCTGTTGCCTGCGCTTTCTGCAGCAACCCTCGGCAGTGTATGTTTCACTTTACAGATGAGAAAAACAAGCTTCCTGCGCATTTAAGTTGCGCGAGGGCTTCTCATTTCTCACCAAGCGAACAACTAAAATGTACGTTCCGCACAACAACTAGCTATTTCATGTTCAGCTTTTCTATAAGACTCTGGGCTTATACTTTGCACCAGTGCTTTCACTGGTTAAGGAAAAAACAAGGACATTTTATTCAAAGATGGTGAAGGCCAGGGAGACAGCTCAGTAAAATAAATGCCTGCCTGGCAAGCACAGGGTCAAGTTCAATCCCTGGTACTGCAAAAACAAAAACAAACAAACAAACCCACAACTGGTGCTACTTTGCAAACTAAGGTTTATCCTTTTCCCCCTAAACTAAAGGAAACAGAAGTTTTGACCTAACCTAAGTAGGCAAAGATCAAACCTGGCTAGTCATATCACTAATATATTAAACCAGTACCTTTTCTGATAGACCTTTGTCAATTTCATTAACTTCAGTATCTACAAAGATGCTTAGCAAAGTAAGAATCTTTAATACACTCTTCCTTTCTTGTTTACTGTAATTTGCTTTTTTATACCTGAAATTCATCACCAACACGGGACACAAATGAGCGGCTTATGAGTGGAGGACTTCATTCACATTACGGTGCACCAGGAGGACACACACAAACTGCCTCAGAGTGCGCGTCCCTGCTGAGGACCCAGCTGGGGACACAAGGGTCATTACTGAGAGCAGAACAGCAGCGCAGACCCACACAGTGGCTCACTGTCCTCCTGACAGCATCACTCTTAGGCTCTCGCTTGCATTCATCCTTACAACTAAAAATAACTTCTTTTCAAAGGGATTAGATGAAAAAAGTATTTGGGGAGAATTACTTTAATTAGGCTACAGTTTAGACATGGGTACAAACTACAATTGATTATTTTCTAATAAAACTAACAGACCTGACTTGTTGGGCGGCAGGAAACAGCAGGATCAGAGCAAACCTTTGTTCGGACAGTCCACAGATCTAACCCAAATCACAACCACCCAACCCAGTGACTTCTGACTGCACCCACACACCTTGCGGTCTGCTAGACACCTGTGCCAGCCCCAGCCTAGGCGAGTGGTCTACACGCGTGGAGCCTGGCATCTGCCTCTTTAAACCTGCCTGGAGATTGTGAGTACAAGCATATGGAGGTCATAAGGCTCTTAGCGGCACCCTTTTCTCTTTGCTACCAGAACCCTGATTCTGAAACTCGCCCACTCTGCCCTCTTCTCTACTTGTGTCTTGAAGCAGGCATCCACTCCAGTGTCCACAGGCTTGACTGGCCAAAGGGGCATTTCGGACTGTCTGCCGCTGGCCACCTGAGGGCTGGGCAGGCCTGACCCTTGACAGCAGTGGGCCCCAAGGATTAGTGGCAGTCCTGGGAAAGTGCTCTCGTACCGCAGGCCAGGGCCTTGGGATGCAGCCAGCTTCTCCCACTGCATGCAAATGAAGATGCACAAGGCCCCAACTGCTACTGGCCACCCTCCAGGACCACAAGGGCAGCTGGCCTCCCATGTGCCAATGCTGGGGGGGCAGGAGAAGAGTTTCTGATGACATCACTGAGCCACAGGACTGAAAACACTTGACACCTCCTCTCCCAGCAGACTTCGTGGACTGTGATTTAATATATTTAAAGTCACAGTGAGTTGACTTTTGCTATTTGCATCTTACAGCTTAATAGTGGTCTCAGCACAGCATTCTTTACTCCTGGATCTGCAGCTAGCAGAACCCACGAAAATGCCCACCGACACATCTACTTATTACGTGTCTTAGTTACTTTTCTCTTGTTGCTGGGACACATACCTGACGCCCACATTGAAGGAAGGAAAGGTTTATTTAGCTCACAGTTCCTGGAGGTTTCAGTCCATACTCAGCTGGCTCCAAGGCAGAGCAGCTCATAGCAGAGGGCAACCTTTCCTGGTGGAGGCAAAGAGCAAGAGAGCGCTCTAGGAGCAGCAGCAGCTCAAGCGGCTAACGTTGTAATGCAAATCACCTGTCCCAGGTCAGGTGCAGCATCCACACGGCACGGTAATCACAAACTCCAGAGGCCGCCCCAAGACTGCATGAGGCTTTAGGGCGACACCTAGACACAAACCATAACATTCCACCCCTGGACCCCCAAAGACTCATGCACATCCCTTTATGCAAAGACATTCTAGTCCATCTCTATGTTGCTAAAGTCCTAACAGTTTCAGCACTGCTGAAAAATCCAAGTCCCAGGTCTCCTCCAAGATCCAAGGCAAACTCTCACCTGTGAGCCCCAGTACACATGAAAACTTAAACACCTGCAACATTCAAAGGCACAAGATAAACTACCATTCCAAAAGGTACACACAGCAGGATACAAACCATTGGGTCCAACACAAGTCCAAAATCCAGGGCAGACATTAAGTCCTGCAGTTCCATGTGGCACATCTGAAGCAAACTGGCAAACTGAGCTGTGTGGCTCCACCCTTAGGGCACTCCTGGTGGTCGCTCCCAGGCTTCTCTCAGGCCTGCTTTGCTCCCTCCTTGTAGTTTCCCTTAGATGATCCATGTTCCTGGCTTTTCCAAACTTCTGGGGTTTCCACAGAACAGGCTTCTCACTGATGGCCTTACACACTGCCCTCTCAGGGGCACACCGCCTGGCCTCCCAGGCCGCCTTCTGAAATCGAGGTGGAAGCCTTCTTAACCTCAGAGCTCCTGCATTCTGCATGCACCTAAAACCACTGCCGCGTGGATGATGCCAAGGTCTGCTGCCAGCTGGAGCAGCAGCCACGTTTCCTTCTCTCTTGGCTGTAAGGGTCAAGCGCCTGGATGGCTGAGCACTCTGACCTTGATTCCGAGGAATAATTTCTCCATGCTGCCGCCATTCTGGAACCTGGGGCGCTGCGGTTTTCCCCTTAAGGCAGAGTCCCTGACCTTTGTAGTTCTGAGGCTGCAAAGGGTGGAGACCTGCAGCCTTCTGTAATGCCCTCAGACCATCCTTTCCACTCTTAGGTTCCTTCCCCACAATGGAGATTCTCTCAGCTCCACCTTTGCAGTCCACAGCTTTATTGGAGCTTCCTTTCTGGCCAAATTCACAACATTTTGAACCATCCTGCTGGGCTCCTTGCTCTTGATTCTCAACATAAATCTGGATAAAAGCCTTCAACAACAGCCAGGCCACTGCCCCAATATTTGGCTGCTTTGAAATATCTTTTGAAAGACTGATCAGTTCACCATGCTTAAACTTACCTCAGGCAAAGTCTCTGGACACGAGCAAAATGCAGACGAACCTTCTGCCAAGCCATAACACAAATCATCTGCAGTCCAACAACCAATGCTGTCCTTCTTCCCAGCAGAAACCTGCCCAGCCTGGTCTTCACAGGCAGGCTTTCTATCAGTCTTCCAGTCTTCTGAGCTCTGGCCAGAATCTCCCACACAGAAGAGGCAAAGCTGTTCCAGCTCTTCACAAGTAGGCAATGCTATGGGTCGCTCAGGATAGGAACCAGATCAGCCAGACTGGAATTTAGAAAGCCGGTTATTACTGAACTCAGGGTCCCTGTCAGCTCTCACGCAGAAGAGGACCGAAGGCGGCTAGCCCAGGAAGCAGGGAGGGTTTAAAACCTGGAACCACATTCCATTTGGTAAACAAATTCATTGTCTGACACAAAACAATGCTTTTAGGGTCATTGTGACCACTACTCAAACTGAATTTCCTGGGGCTTTCTTTTAGTTTCTTTAGGTTCCCTTGCACCTGAGTCCTTATATGTAGCCTTGCATAGCCTGAGGTTACAAGAAGTTAAAGCCCATTTAGTTTCCTTTAGAAGTCATCTCTGTAAGCTAACTTTGTTAATAGGAATTGGTGAGGGTTACAGGAATTGGTGAGGGTTACAGAAATTTTATCTTAGCAAACAGCAAGAAATAGCCACTAGTTACTAAACAACTTAGAACAGTGGTAAGTATACATTTTTACACAACAGAAAACACAAGATTCATATTTATAGTCTAAAATGTGAGTTGACCCATTACAGGCAACATCTCCGAACCTTTCCTGTGTCTTCCCATAGGCCATTCCCAAAAGCTGGTAATCCACATGGTCATGTTTAGCCACAGCAACGACTCCACTTCTCTAGTACCAAATTCTGTCTTAGTTACTCTTCTCTTCTTGCTGGAACACATACCCGAGACCCAAATTGAAGGAAGGAAAGGTTTATTTAGCTCACTGTTACTGGAGGTTTCAGTCCATATTCAGCTGGCTCCAAGGCAGAGCGGCACATGGCAGAGGGAAACCTTTCATGGTGGAGGCAAAGAGCAAGTGCTCAAAAGGAAGAGCAGCAGCAGCTCAAGCAGCTAGCTTCTCTCCCCTCCTTACACTGTGATGCAGATCCCCTGCCCAGGGCGGGTGCAGCATCACACCCACAGTAATCAATCACAGGCTCCAGCTCATGAGGCTCTGGGGGGACACCTAGACACAAACCATACCAAAATGTAAATCTGAGGTTATTGTTTGGTTTTTAACAATGCATCAATGTTTAAAAATTAATTTCCATCCTGTTACCCTCTCCATATTTCAACCAACTCTTATCATACATTCTACATTCACTGCACTCACTTCCTTATTTTACTCAAAGTTGTTGCTGTAGGCTTTGTCTTGAATGTGCAAGACCATTCTCCGAGCATAGAAGTCCTGGTATTCCTCAGGTAGCTCAGCCAGGGTTTTCAGGGCTCGGTCCAAAATCTGCACAGCTCTTGATGCTGCGGTGGGATCTTTGTTTCCATACATGTCTGTTTTATCGTAGCACTCAGACGGAAGGTGCTTCCAAAAGACATTCACTCCCACTCCGAACTCTTCAGAAATGACGTTGTGGAACCATAAAGCTAGAGAAAGATTTTTAAAAGCAAGTTAAAAATAAAACGCATAGTTTAAAAAAGAAATCTAAAAAGTACCAAACTGCCAGGGAAGCTCCAGCATCTCACGGAGCCAGCTAAGAGCCCTTCCGGGACCCTCCACCAGCACACTGCCAGCTACGGACAGGGCGCATTAGCTTTCCTGCGCCCCCAGCCAGTTCCATCTCAGGAGCACAGCCCTGACTTTGAAAACCTTTAGGAAGAGCAATTTTTTCTTTTAACTTGAAAGACATAATAAAGTTATATTTGTTTTGTAGTTCTCTAATTTGGGCTGTGTTTTGTGTTAGTTGTTTATACTTCCTGAGTCATGCAGCCACATCAAAAATGTTTGTTTTTTGTACACAGAACATTTCAATTACTATGTTTGACCTTTTTTGATTTAGTGCAGTGCTTTTGTCCTCAAAGACATCCTGCTCAAGCTGCTTTCCTAACTTGCCTAGATTTGCATTCACTGTAGCTTCCTCAGTTTGTATTTCTAGTGCAATTATCATCCTGTTCCTTTCACTGCTTTACAATAAGCGCATAAAGCTACAGCAAATATTTTGGTAGTGGAGATAAAAGTTTATTCTATACCTAATTTTTATTTGCACTAGAAAGTTTACATTGTTTTCAGTGGAGCCTAAGCATTTTCAAAATGTAAGTGCTAGAGGAATAATAAGTGACACAAAATAATAAAGGAGTACTCATCACACCAGAAATGTTTAACCTTGCCAAAGGGAAAAAGGAAGATTTAAATTTTAGTAACAACTCATTCCAAGAGTACTCAAAAAACAAAAGATTAAAGCTGAGTGAGGCAGGAGGATCATTGTTAGTTTGACACCATCCTGGGCTATGAAGTGAGCCCAAAGGCTAGCCTGAGCTGCCAGCAGGACCCTGTCTCAAAAAAAAAAAAAAAAAAAAAATTTATTTGCAAAGGTCGTCTTCAAACATGGTTTCAATCTTAACTATTCTTTCAGAATCCTTGTTCTCTCAGGGAAATAGGAAGGCTGATCATTCTGCTTAATTTAAATCACAAGAAGGGGCTTTTGCTTTTGTTTCAAAGTACAGTATATGCAAATTATTTCTGTTTTGTTCTTTTGGCTTAAAAATTAGGTATAGAACAAGGAAAAACTACATAGCCCTTAATCCTGTTCTAAAAATACAAAAGCCACAAATCCAAATATAAATTTAAAAGTTATACCCAGCACGGCGTGCTGTGCCATGCTGGCTCCACCCCTGGGGCATGACTGAGACTGGGATTGGTGGTGCCATGCCTGTAATCCCAGCACTTGGGAGGCTGAAAACAGGAGAATCGGTACGAGTCCAATCTACATAGTGAGACCCTGTACTAAATACATGAAAAAAACTATAATGTATTTAAGACTAAGACAGTGGTTTCAGTCTCTGAGGACTAGAGATTAAAAAGAACACAGTTCCTTATCCTCAAAGAATTTATAATCTAGCCCCAAAGTGCATAACGGTATCTTTATTTCTCACTGATGTTCTATATTTAATTCTATCACTGAAGTATTATTAATCTATTAATTTAGACATGAGAAATCAACTACACAAACAGAATTTGTCGCTGACCCTCAGCATGTGCTGTCTACGGCCAGACCAGCCGGACTGCGCCAGACCTCGCGGATCTCGGAAGGGCCGGGCCTGGTTAGTACTTGGACAAGAGTCCTCAGCATGTGTCAATCACAGATGTGAATCATTACGTCACCATGCTGGCAACACTGACATTTTACAGACGTTCAAACTAATGCCTAGCTAGTGAATAAAACATCCTGACACTAAGTCTGTGTGCAGAAAGGGGACGCTAAGATATCACAGCTGTTGAGATTATAGTATTTTGATATTTACTACAATCTCTAATATGTTTTGGTTTTGAAAAATACTTACCATTGCTTGGTAAATGCTTAAGCAAAAACCTAAAATTCCTAAATATTTGAGGAACAAAATGCTTTTAAAAACCAAGGATATTCTTTTCCCAGATAGAAAGTATCGCACCCAATGACACTTGGTCGAGTAACTTTCAGCACAGACATTCTTGACGTAACCACCTGCTTGTTTAACGGCTCTGAGGCTTAGGACTAACGCACACTGCTCAGACTCGCGGCCCGCCACTCAGACTCCTGACTCTTTTTTGTACAGTGCCCCTTGTCCATACAGCAGTGTAACTTGCTACTTGTACCATACAATATGAGTTTTATGTTGTGTTATACATTACACAAGTGCGTGTAAGAGTTACACAAACAAAAGCAAAGTGACCGAGTTGTATTTCCTTTGCCCACGTCTTTGTTCCGAATAAAGTCACGAACACATCATATACAATGCCTCACGTAGTGACCAATCCACTTAACAGCCTGCTCACAGGAACAGAACATGGCTGTTAAACGAGGAGCGTCTGTATTCTACAGCTCTGCACTGCTTATGAAGAGGGCGCATCCTGAGAAACACTCGGCCAAACACTTCGTCACTGCACAAACGTTTGCTATATACCCAACTCGGCCCCAGAGGGTGTGGGCCAGGACCCGCCCAGGACGTCTGGCCCAGCCTCTGCCCGGGACAAGCCACTGCCCCATAGAGCAGCATGTCCTGAAGATGCAGCCGCTGCAGCCCTGAATGTCAACCTGCAGGAGCACAGCGAGAGGAAGGTGTAGGAGAACTCCCAGCTAGACGCCCTCTGCCGGGGGCACATGCCTCAAAGGAAGCCCGTGAGCCTGGCGCATGCTGCAACCGGCCAGTAAGTGGTGTTACCACACCTGAGTGTGGACCTCACTGTGTGCTAAGGCTACACGCAGTTCACAATAAGATTTCAGTAAGAAATTGATCTTAACTTACTGTAACTTGTTAAAAACTTTAAATTTTAATCTTCTGACTTTTATAGTAACAGCTTAAAACACCGTACAACAGTGTAAGTACAGTTTATAATCCCTTTTCTCTGAGCTTTTTCTAGTTATTTGATTTTTCTTTTGTAAATTTTTCCTTGTAGAAGCCAACAACACAGCCCAACCCTCCTCACCACCACTGGCAGGGCAGTCCCACTCACTGCCTTTGTCTCCATCCTGCACAAAGGGGGTTCCGATACTGCCTCTATGTGGCGCATTCCCAGAGGACCGGCCTCAGGCTATTCTTGCTTTTGAAACAAGTAGAGGAAGCAATAACAATTAAAAGTATGCTAGCCAGGTGATGAGGTACACACCTCTAATCCCAGTTATTTGGGAGGCTGAGGCAGGAGGGTCACAAATCGAAGGTGCGGGGAGCAGCTGAAGCTGGGGACAGGTCACATGTGCAGAGCTGAAGCCAGCCAACCCCGAGCACAGGGCACTCGAGGCAAGCCATGTAGACAAGCCGTTCCAGCTCTGCGAACATGGGGCCCGAGGCGAGCCAGGCAAACAAGTTGTTAGGCAGACGGGTCGCAACCAGCATCAGCCTCCCCAGTGTGTGAGCGCTCTGCAGTCCTGGTCAGTTCTCTCTCTCCCACCAGGAGAGAAGGCTCCTCCTGACCTCAGCTTTCTGCACTCTGACTCTCTCCATCTCTCTACTTTCCACTGTCCTCCCCTGAGAAATTCGAGGGCTGCACTGGACAGTGCACCAAGGCTACTCATTCTGGGCAACTCAGGCCCCATCTCAAAATGAAAAATAAAATGGGCTGGAAGGGCACTTGCCCAGCCCCATGAGGCCCTGGGTTCAATCCCCAGTACCATCAAAGAAATGAAAAATAAACAAAGAAACCAACACTGTTGACACTTACCAAGCAATATGCACCCACATAATCCACAACTGGGGCGATGCTTCCACAGCGCTGGCCATGCAGCGGGCTTGCCACCTACCATCACCACATGCACAGGTGACTGGCTCACTGTGCCCTGCATTCTGATGGCTACACTGGGACTACTGACAGGGTTTCTCAGCTCATTTCAATCTCACGAGACCTCTGTTGTACACGTAATCTGTCATGGACTAAGTCTCTGTTCAGTAGTGTATGACTGTACTGACAGACTGCTCACCCAAATAAGACTTTTTTCCGAAGGGTCTACCTAAGTATACTTTATAAACACACACACACAGCTATGCAGAAGAATGATTTGCACAGGACAGGATACATGTAACAGTTTTGTATTAAGGAAACACACGTAGAAGATGAGAGACAGAACAAAGGTTTCATCAACAGCACATGACTCAAGTCTAGAAATCTTACCAGGAATGAATAACACATCACCAGCTTCAAGGGAACATTCATGCCTTCTGGCCTTGGAGAAGAGTGGATATTTAGCCAAGTCTGGCTTGTCGATGTTTACCACTTCTGATTTAGAACCTGAAAGATTCCAAATAGATTAAGCAAAGTTGGCATTCTCTTAAAAAAGTACTCATAAATATAAATTCAAAATTAATTTTCTGTGATCATAAGAGCCACACTGTGAGGGTAAGGCAGTTTCCAGTCAGCCACTCTTTCACTGTGATCACTGACAACATGAAATACAAGCACGGCAATCTGAAATCTCATTCTTCATATGGCCTGTCACTATGTATATCACACATACGCATTTGAAAATACAAACATCCTAATTAGGAAGATGTGTCCTAAGTTGTTTTTTAACATGAATAAAGAGATTTCTCAAGGAGTAACTAAGCAGACTTTAGAAACACAACCTTGAGGGCTGTCGACATAGCTCGGTGTGCTAAGCGCCTGCTTAGGCAAGCACAGGGCCTGGGGTTCAACCCCCAGCACCACATGCCATGCCAGTCCTGCTGAGCTGGCCACTGAGACTGGGCACGGTGGTGCACACCTGTAATCCCAGTGCTGGGAAGGCTGAGAACAGGAGGGTCACAATGAGTCCGAGCCACAAAAGGAGACCCTGTACCAAATAAATAAATAAATAAAACTGCAACCTTGAATAAAATCTTACCTGACAAATATAAATACTGGGCATCACGAGGACTGAACAGTGTAATGTGCTTTTTTCCTGTCACTTGTATTAAGAAGTTATCCATCACCTGAAGACCAAGAAAAACTTATGGGTAAGCAGTATGTAGAATTCGAATAAAATCAATGACATTCTAAATAATTAATTATAAAGACCATATATTAGTTTTAGATAAGGTCTTTTTGGCCCATGCTTAAACTCGTCCTCTTGCCTTGGCCGTCTAAGTAGCTGGGATGACAAGGACCTACCACTGCACCTAGCTTAACGAATTCCCATCAGCTTGAACCACCTGAGGCACACACACAACAGTCCCCCGGGGCAGCTTGTACCAGTGCTGGTAAAGTCACACACAGGACAGTCGCATACCTATCACCAGTGCTCAAGCTACTTGGCAGGGAGCCGCAGGAATTACAGCATCATAAATGTGTTAAAACTTTACTCTTGCATAAAACCCTTAAATCAAATTCTAACGTTACATTAAAAACACCACATTCCAACATAACCAGGCCTTTCTGAGCTTGCTTCTGTGGCACAGGGGAAGGACTGGCAAAGAAGTAGGTCAAGTTAGGAAAACTGGTCCACACTGCACCATGAACTGACTGTAAGAGCAGTTAAACATGCTAAAGGCTCCTCTAGGCTAATATTCATTTCACCTGGCCATCAAGGATGCTCTAAGACCAGCATCAAGAACACACTAGGGGGGCTGGGGAGATGGCTCAGTAGAATAAGCACTTCCTTGGCAAGCGCAAGGTCCTGAGTTCAAACCCCAGTTCTGCCAAGAAAAAGAAACACAAAGAACAGACTAGGGGCTGGGGAGATAGCTAAGTAGAAGGGCCTGAGTTCAATCCCTGGTTCTACCAAAAAAAAAAAAAAGAACACACTAAAAGCACTTAGCCAAACTAGGATTTAGGAAAATAGTTACTGTTGCAGCCACTGTTAAACTTGTAATTCAATCATAATTTGGTTATAGGTATCTTGATTATAGAATTATTGGTATAGGAACACAACCTAACAAATTATCTCAATATACATCTTTTTAAGAGACAGTCTTGCGACATATCCAAGTTGACCATGAACTCACTCTGGAGCCCAGGAAGGTCTCATTTCTCCTGCTGCCATCTCCCAGTGATAGGTTTACAGGTGTGTGCCCTGACCCCCACTTTTGAATAGCGGCATCTTAGCTGCTCCTGCATATATAGGCAGACTTTCTTGTCACCATGAGAAAGGCTACAACCAGGGCCACACACACTAGGGAAGGCAGAGGCATGACTAGTCACATTATCATTACTACTGAAGCACTGCTTTTAGCTCCAAATCTTTATGTTGACTTTAACTATGTAATGCTAACTAGCATCCCTCTATTTTTAAGAAAAGCCTTATATATTACATTCCAACTCAAGGTAAAAGAAACCACTTCCAACTGAAAACAAGGCCACAGACGACCACTAAAAATGTATGAATCACATCATTTCCTCATCATGTCATTCATATAAAACCTTAAAGAAACAATATGCTAAGATTCTAGGCCTGTCTCATTTAGTTACAGATTTACTATACTAAAATCTTCCCAAGAGGCCTTCAAATGAATTACAGAACACATATATAAAACATCAACCTGATTTAGAACTTCAACAAAACAGGCTGAGGCAGGAGTTGCTCAAGGCCAGCCTGGGCTGCACAGCAAGACCCTGCCTCAACAGCAGCAACAACAACAACTTTGGAAATCTATTGGTACTGCTTTAACTTCCTGCTTTTCCACCTCCAAACAGCAAATCATACAAAATACTAGCCTTTTAAATACTTTTTAGGTGCTTAGGTACACAATATATTTAATATACTCACAACAGGGGCTGCAATTTTATGTCTGTCAGGCACCTTGGACACTGCTCATGTGTGCAGAACTGTCCCACTGGATGGCCTTTTATTGATTTTATTGGTAAAAAGACTGAGAAACGTGGTCAGCTCCAGCTGTACTCCAGGGGTACAAGTCACCCACTGGGACAGTCATCGATGGGCCAGCAGTGTGGTGCAAGCCAGGGGAGTGTAAACCCTAGCACCTCAGAACATCAAGGAATCAAACGTCAACATCAGTACCGTATGTCTTGCTGTCTTACAAATACAGCAGACAGTGAATGCTCTCGAGGGACATAAGTCCTAAGACCTTCAGATTCCTCAGGACTGCCACCTCTCGAATAATTCACTCTGCGCTCTGCTTTTCTCCTGGACAGCTCCATGCTGGGTGCCCAGAGGCCTGGGGGCATCTGGGTGTTGCCGTACCACAAGCCTCCACTTTTTAACCTTCTTCTCCCTTACTCGGCAGCCATCTTTTACACAGTAAACCAAACAGAACCCAACCTCACTCGGTGAGACACGGATGGTGAGGATTCGCGGCCACAGCCACACAGTGCCACCGCCTTGCAGTTCCTCTGCTCAAACCCAGCGCCTAGGCAAGCTGCACTGCTAAGACTTCTAAGACAGCTTTTTGAGTGAACTTCTGAATGTTAATCTATGAAGATCTACCACTTATATAGCATACATCATAGTGGGTCCAAAGTTGTAATCCAGGTGAACTAATTCGGAAAACACTAGAGAAGAACTGCTCCTCCTCGAAGAATTTTGGAAACTTAATATCGCCTTCTAACAAAGGAAACTGCTTTCTGATATCTGCAACATCCTACATTGACAGAAACATAAAGATAATTAGAGAAAAATATGTGGAAAGGATTTCAACAATAAACACCATACTGACATAATGTTTACTTTATCTAAAACTGCCAACAGCCTACAAGCACTGGGGAAAGCAGGGACGAAACTGCTCAGGGCTTCCCAGCGCTGCGCTCTGCCTACCTGCTGACGCTGCGCCCTCAGTGCAGGGACAACCAGCCTAGCAGGCTGCTGTGAAGCTCAGCAGACTTCATGCCTAGAAAGGCTCTTTCTACTATAAGCAAAACTTATACAGCTGTCAAGCATTCTAATGAAGCCATATTGTATGACTGTGAATACATAATTAAAATTATATAATAAGGATTTCTATAATTATTTTGGATTAGTAGTTTATTACTTAAAAGGATTTCTATAAAATATGCAATTGATGGGATTTCTTGCTCTGTAGAAATTAGATTACTGTGACCCCCTAAGATTCTATGATCCTATCTGAAAACCAAGAAATCAGTGGTTACTGATCTTTTTTAGGGACACAAATCTAGGACTAGAATAAGACATGTTTTGTATCAGTCTACAAGTATAAAAGTTACTGCACCGGTTAACATCCACAGAAGTCTTAAACAATGATTCTCAATTCTTACCTTTCTAGGATCTTCTCCAAGTGATCGTAAGTAGTATTTCTCATCCTAAAATGTCCCAAAGAAAAACAACTTCAGCGTTGACTTAAAACTATTTGAAAGCAAAGAAGGAAGGGAATAAACCCTGAAATCTGACGTAGTCAAGTCATTTTCTAAAAAGCTCCTCTATCTCCCTTTCCATGAATGCTCCCTGGTGGTCACATGGAGAAACGCCTTGCACATATGGGGCTCTCAACAGCGCCGGGCCCACAGGCTGAAGGTTCTGAAGGCAGCACACAGCCCTAAGCCACAGAGCTCCGGACTTCATACAAATCTACGTTTGGCCTCAGCAGAGTCTTGCCACCTATAAAAGACTTCCCATTTGCACAGGAGACATGATTCAAAAGCACTGTTGAAAGCCAACGTCAAACCTATTACTACAATCAAACATGTAATGAGATAAAATATCTACTACTGCTACATGTTTAAAATATTAGAAACCTGCAGTTCTCCAGCTGGCCTATCCCTCACAATGTAAATTCTGAACCAATGTAAATGCTTTAGATTCAGTGCATGAATTAATCAACTTACAGATATAGTTCCGTCATCACTGTACTTCACTGAGCAGCTAAATAGCAAGAAATTGAGCTATAAAAACACTTGAGGGCTGAGTTGTGGCTCAGGGCACAGCACCTGCCAGCACACACGGGGACCTGGGTTTCATCAGCATGCTCAAAACAATAAAAAGTAGTCTGCTGTCTGCTTTCCTGTAAGACGACCTGAGCTCTGCCACATCTGTGCAAGACAATCCAATTCAGAATTCCGCCCTCTAAAACCAGACCAGGACTGCTGCACCAGATTTCAAAATGTAACTCACTGGGCTAGGGAGCTAGCTCGGCAGCATAAGCACCCGCCTGGCAAGGGCAAGCACCAGAGTCTGAACCCCGGTACTGCATGCTGTGCCAGCCCTGAAACCGGGTATGGTGGCAGATGACTGTAATCCCAGCACTGGGGAGGCTGAGACAGAACAATCACTACGAGTCTGAACTATGTAACAAGCCTCTCTTGGGGAAAAAAAGGTAACTTATTTAGTCTAAGACACAGTGGCAATGTATGGTCATGAATTTACTGAGCTCTAGGCTTCGCCATTTTCATATTTTTATTGCCACGGTGGACAGGTCCTACAATCTGTTTACCTGCTGAGGTATGTTCGTCAGAATTCCAAGGGTTTTCTACCAGTGCTAGCACTTAAGATTTAAAACTTAACCCCACTGCAGCCGGCAGATCCCCTCCAAAAGCTCGCTGCTCAGTTCCAAGGAGCGGGCTCAGTGCTCAGGTCCAGCTAACAGACTGCTTTCAAGGGCTCTCTCAGCACACCACAGAACCACAGGTCTCCTGCTGTGCAGGATCCCGGCATGTTCTGGCCTAACCAGTCCTCAGGGACAGGACGGTAACAACACAGCACCTCAGTATCCAAGCAGTCCAGGTCTGGAGGCTCAGACACAGGTGACAGCTTTACGTGCTGCCTAACAAGGTGCTCCCCTACTTTCTCATTTGGGTTTTTGAGACAGGGTCTTGCTATGATTCCAGGCTGGCTCTAAACTTGTTCTGTTGCCCATGGCAGCCTCCAACTTGTGATCCTCCTGCCTCAGCCTCCTGAGTGCTGGGGTTACAGGTGTGCACTACTATGCCTGGCTAAATAGTAACTTAAGTTTAAAATGTGCTTAGTGAATTTACCTCAAGATATGGAAGCTGAATTACTTAAAGCTGCTTTCATATGAAAATTTTCATATAATCTCAAAATTTTATAGCCAATAAAAAGGATCATATTGATAAAAATAAAATATGGTAATCAAATACATGCAACATGAAAATAAAGTTCTCTGTTAGCGTCAGACCTTGACACCTTAGGCCTGAGCCTTTTCAAAGGAGTCCTAACAGCTAGCGTCAGTGAGCTGTCTCCTTGTGTCAGGGGCACTACAGAGTGCATCACATATTTTACCACAGGAACCAGAAGGAGGCAGTACTGTCACTCCAGGTCAGAGATGCGCATGCGTGAGCCCAGGAGCGCACGGCCAGCAGCAGGGCCGGCCTGCGGTGCCGGCAGGAAGCCTCACCAACACCACAGGGCGGTCGCGCTCTGGTGCAGTGGGAATCTTCCCTTTCTGCGCAGACAGCACTGCTTCCTAAAGACACGGTGCAGCGATTACCTCTGAAATAAAGAATTCCTCGTGCTTTTCTTCAGCTGCCCTCTGGATCAACTTGTTAAAAGGTAAAGTTCTGCAATAAACATAGATACGACATGATGACTACACAAGCCAGCTTATGGCAGTGGTCTACAGCCTTCTACTTTATAATAGGCGTCCCTGTCATCATGACCTGTTACACAGAATTCTAAACATCCAAAGTTCACTTGGCAGGACGTCCACTTACTCTGTTATTTGAAATTATAAGACAGGATGTTTAAGTCTATCTAGTGCACACAATCCTTGTAGGTCAATGTCCTTTACTCCATATTACTGACAGAAGAATGTTCTCAGGGTTCTGATTACCTGTGGCAGGAGCCATCTTAGCACCACACCACCACTGCAGACAGGTTACCTTTAGAAACACGCACTCTGAGGCTGTGGTGATGAACGGGACAAACTGCCAGCACTACGAAGGGTCCGCCAGCCCTCCTACCTTTCGGGACAGTCTCTGAACACAAAAGCCAGGAACACTGTCTTCTCCTCCTCTACCACCCTCTAACGTTTTAAGGCTTCTGAGAATTCCAATAGTCACCAGATTTTATCCTTCAAAATGTCTGCTCCAGAGCCTGTTTCCTTTCTGTCTGGGAAAACAAAGCCGATGGGGCTTTGGGGAAACCAGAGCGGCAGGGGGCACCAAGCAAGGCTCCACTAGGTGCTCCCGGCGTGCGGTCCTAGCTGAAGGGCGTGGGCACGTGGCGCCGCCCGGGGCACGGCATCAGGTCTCTGGGCCCGTCCCTGGGGCCCTGCTCCTCGCGTTCTACTTCCTGGCCGCTGCGAGGAGTGCACTTTGTTTTCTGCTTCCTGGCTGCCGCGACGCTCTCTGCTCAGGCCTAAAGCAGGGGGCCGATCAAGCGTGGACGAAGCCTCTGCAACAGGAGCCTACATGCATCTCCCTCTCCGGCTTCTCGAGTATCTGCTCACAGTAAGGACGTACACACTTCCATCCTGGAGAACGAGGATGGATGCTGCAGGAGCAGAGTCCTTTCCCTGCCCAGCATACTCCTGAGTCACAGGGCTACATTTTCTCTAGCTCCTCTCTTCTCTTCTCCAACTTTCTCTAATTCAAAGTACTGCCTGGTGTGACTATGACACCTGTATCAGTACAGGACCACGAGGTCCTCAAAGCCTGCCTTCTACTCCCCACTGCGTGCTTGCTGCCAAACCTCCTCCCAAGACTACAGTCTTCTCAGTCTCATTGCCGAATATCGTTTCTCTGACTGCGCTGGGGAGATGGGGACAAACAGGAAAACCCTCTGCTACGAGATGAGGCTGGGCTCGGTCAACTCTCCCCTGGCACGTATTTCCTAGAAACACACCGGCAAACGTGAGTCGGCAGCCGCAGCAAGGTGGTGGTGTCCGCTCTACGAGGAGCCTTGATGGTGAGCTGTGTCTGCTAGATGGCCTGGGGATGGACTCCACGTGCGTGCGTAAGGAGCAGAGAGCAACGTACAGCAACAACAGGGAGAAACCCCGTTCTCGGGCCACTTCAAGGTGCGCTTCTGGGGACCACCTCCACCACCTTGTTCCCCCAACACTAAGCTGGCACCGGTGAGCCAAGGAGACAGGGCTCACACATGCACGCACTCCTGAGGATACCATCCTGCCTCGGGGCTGCCTCCTGCCTGGCACTCTCCTGCAAAGCTAAGGCACACGATGCCCACGCAGGGCGGGTGTGTGCTGCGAGCGGCAATGTGAACCAGCTATCCTGGTTCTTATGTGGGTGAACACTGCGCAGAGAAACAAGGTCTGCTGTCCGTAAGAGCAGCACAGACTCTCTCACCGTGGAGTCCGACCAGCCAGATCAGCACACGTACGTGTGGCCCCACTCAGTGCTCTCCATCTCAGGCTTCTTCCATCTCAGGTAGGCACGCACCTACCTCTCAAGGCTACCGAAACATCTCCGGAGAGCTCCTCTAGGCTATGTAACTCGTTCTGTTGCTCAGCTTGCATGTTCTTGCCAGAGAAGCGTTTCAAGACCTAGAGAAACTAAGGGCAGAAGGGCCACGCTACAAGAGCACGACAGCAGTTGAGGCCAGAGAAGCAGAGCGGAGTGCTGCCAACAGCCTGCCTCGGAAAGCCCTTTGGCTGGGGCTTTCGCACGGGTTCCACACAGGTCTCCTGCCACCGATGCACCATTTGAAGGACAAGCACACAGACAAGGAGAGGCAGAGTCCAGGAGGGGACACCAGGAGCCAGCAACTCTGAGCACACATCCTGGGTTCTACCGCTTTCAGCCCTATGTGATCTTGGGTAAGTCACTTCTCTTTGCAATCACTGTAAACACATACCTACCGTAACTCACAGACTGGTCTCTAGCTTAAATAAGAAGTGCAATCTAGAACACCTGTCATGAGGCGTTCAGTAAAGACACTGGGTTAGCAAAGACCACGACACACCCTTCAGCAGGTACAAGGAGTTAGCAGGATTTTTTTTTTGGCAGAACTGGGTATTGAACTCAGGTCCTTGCACTTGTCAGGGAAGTGCTTATTCCACTGAGCCATCTCCCCGGCTCCTTCAGCAGGTTTTTTTAAAGAAGGATAAAACCCTCTAGTGTTCAGTTCTCCACTTTGGAAGGATTCCTTTACAAATCAAGACACAGAGTGATAAAAGTACAATAAACATAAGTTGCTAAAGGAATTACACACTACGTTAGATAAGATAATCTAAGCAAGGCTTAAGAGAGATTTACGGTACATTTTCAAAATTAAATCTATGGCCAGACGGCACCAAGAATACCCTTTCATTTTACTGCATAAGATTTTCCTGCCAGAATACCTTGGCTGTGGAGGGAACAGTGACAGCTACCAAGAAGAAAAACGACTAGGGAAACGCTTGTTACCACATCCGTCAACAGATGCACAATAAAGGGGAACAGCAGCCTCAGCACACGTTTATTTGTAGGGTTTCTTCCTTCCAGTATCTCTTTGGCCTAGATTCTTCCGTTCTTTCCTCCTGCCTGGTAAGAGTGGAAAGAACCAAATCTACTTCCATTTCTTGCACTAAACAGTAACTTTGCCATTCTTTAGTAATGCAAGTGGAAGACTCTGAGAAGGCTGGGTTAGTCCATCAACCATGTGCTTCAAAAATAAATTCTACGAAGTTTAAAAGCCATGACAAAGCACCAAAACACGTCAACATGCAGTTTCAATACCCATTTACTGTGGCATTAGACTGTGGAAAACAAACATCATTAATTGCAGGCTGAAAAACACTCAGCATTCCAGTACTTTCTTCCACTTTTTTGACTTAATAAAAAGTGAAAAGTTCTTACACTTGAAAGAACTCACGGCAATCAGATTCAACTAGTGCTTACTGAAACCAAAACTACAATGGTGAAGATTCAAAACACTGAAAACTGAGAAATACTTTGGCAGCTGTTGTGTGAACCTGGAAACCTCCGATGAGAAAGGAACACCCCGGACCCTGGAAACTGCAGCTCACCGCCGGCCTCAAGCCCTTTGCAAACTGCATGGTTTTCAGTGATCTAATTTACTGGGAAGTACACTTGTACTGAAAAGTACAGTCCTTTGGCTTTTAATGACTCTCATGGGAATAGATAGTACTTCAACTCTGCAAGATGACAACATTTAAAGCTCCTAAGTTTAGACAGCCTTTAAAAAACTTTCCTATGCTAGATGTTACCAAGTGGTTGGATATAATTATTAATCATGCACTGGCTGACTACAGTGGACCTAACTGTAGTGTAACTAACTACAGAAACCTCTTCCACGACTCCAAAAAGTCTCTGGGACAACCTATGTATTCTTTAGAAACTCTCTGTCATCATTATATGAACACAGGATTCTTTTTAGTATTCTTTAGAACTAAGATGCCATGACTGTATCAAACTAACAAAAGATAAAATGCCACGTGGCCCTGTAGAACACTGTAAACACACTTGAAGGGCTGGGAAAGTGGTCTGCGTCCCGAGTGAGCCCAGAAGGTAATAATACCTATACACAAAGTTCTTACTGATGAAGTCCATCTGTGCGACGGCGGTGACGTGGACCTTCACCTCTCTTGTCCCTCCAACATGGCTTAGGTAGTCCACCGTCCACTTGCTGGTACACGGCCCCAGATCAAGTCCTCTCAACACCAGAGGCTTTCTCTGTAAGCAGAGGAAAAATACAAAAACTATTTGTGAACACCAAGTGCATACCATAAGCTATGTTTGGTAACAGGTGATAAACTCTGATGCTTGATCCTGAGGTTCGTAAAACTCAAAACTCTGGCAGTTAATGTAGTCACTACAGGACCCGCACAATATACCCTGGACAAAAGGTTAGAATCAGAACAGGCGGCAGAGAAAGAAGAGACATCCAAATATTACAAACAATATTTTTATGTTTTCAATGACAAAAATATAAAAGATTAAAATTTCTACTCTATAGTCAAATTTTTGGTTTTTATTTATTCATTTATTTATGTTTATTTTTATTTATTTATTTATTTATTTATTTATTTTTTTGTGGAACTGGGGACTGAACTCAGGACCTTGCACTTGCCAGGCAAGCACTTATTCTACTGAACTATCTCCCTGGCCCCAGTTTTTATTTTAGTACCATTTCATACTTCTAAAAATGTTGCAAGCACCTGTAATCCCAGAATTTTAGGAAGCTGAGGCAGGAAGATTTTAAGTTTGATCACAGCCTGCCAATTTAATGAGACCCTGTCTTAAACAAATAAAAAACGTTTAAAAGGACTATAGATGTAGTTCATGAACATCGAGTGCTGGGAACATCGAGTTCCAAGAACATCACAAAGAACCTGCAATTTCATGTATCCTGTGTCCTGATTCATCAACGATTAATAATACCTCCCACCCGATTTACTGTATACTCTTATCCTGGGTGACTAGAGAACACATTATTAAACCTAATTTAATTTTGGCTGCATTGTTTTGTAGTTAAATAGCTGGCATCACGCTCTTTTATCTGTAAAGCTTGTACAGATTTCCTAAGGACACTCTTACATAACCGTGAAGTAATTATCAAAATTGCATTTCACATGACATAACACTCCTGCTGAACCTGCAGTACACATTCAGATTTCACTAATTGTCCCAATAATTTTCTTTAGAGGTTTTTCTTCTCCTGGCCCAGAATTCACTCTAAGATGCCAAATTGTACCAGTTGCCCGCTTTTCATCTGCAACAGTACAAACAGTCCCTCAGCCCTTGTCTTCCATGGACATGACAGTTCTGAGGTATGCAGGCCAGTTATTTGTTGAATGCGCTTTCATCAGGTGTATCTGCAATTTCTTCAGGGCCACACTGTGCCTTTGGGGGTGTCATACAGAATAAATGCTGTGGCTCTCCCTGGTATTTTGCTCTACAATTTCTGCTACCAACTTAGATCACCTGACAATCGCTACCCAAGTCAAGTACAGTTAAAATGAGTGCAAGAGTGATTTTTCAATCTCCATCACTTCTCTACATTTGTTAGTTGGCATTCTAATGTAAAAAAATAAAAGAGCTCTAACTCCCCCACTTACCTATTCTACTCCACGGGTAATAATCTACTAACATAATTTTAGATTTTCTTTTTTTTTGTTTTGTTTTGTTCAGGGTCTCACTACATAGCCCACATTAGTAGCGATCCTCCTGATTTCTGCCTCCCAAGTGCTGGGATTACAGATGTGTGCCACCGCGCCCAGACTCCATCGCAGGCTCAGTGCACCGAAGGCGGGGCCGGGGCAGCAGGTGGAGCCAGGTATTGAACCCTGGCCCCTGCGCTTACCTAAGCAAGCACTTAGTCCGCTGAGCTATACCACTGGCCCTCTACTAACATAATTTTGATGCTCAGATTATCCCCACTTTGGGGTTCCCTCAGTAGGTCCTCTTCAAGCTGGTAATTAACTTTTTTTTAAATGTATTTAGTACAGGGTTCACAGGGTCTCACTACAGGTTGGACTCAGTGATCCTCCTCTTTTACAGCCCAACTGTTAACTTTTTAACCTGAACATTGTAAGAAAATAACACGCTCTAGCATTCCGTTAGACTTCCTTTGCCAGCCTTGCAGTCACTCATTTAAGTAGCTCTCCTACTTCTTTTAAAACGCACATGGGCCGGGGAGATGGCTCAGTAGAATAAAGCGCTTGCCTGGCAAGCACAAGTGCCTGACTTCAATCCCCAGTTCTGCCAAAAAAAATAAAATAAATAAAATTAAATAAAATAAAATGCACAATGTTTAGTGGCCATCATTGCTTCTGCCTTTGCAGTTGTCTGAGCTAAGAAACGTGAGGTTGCGTGCGTGTCCCTGAGCACATACACTCACACCATGCGTGCACATTCTATGTATGTACTACATACACATACACATTCCCATGCATGTTTCGAGGTTAATCCTGCTCTTCACTGTTTATTTGTAACTATTCCAACAGGGGGAAACTGGATTCCCTTCATCACCATTTATACATCTGCAAAACTAGATTTCAGAAAGTACTGTTATATATTGTTAGGTCATACTATTATAAAACAGCAAGTTTACTAACCAGAATTGTTTTCATTTTTTTTATCCTAGACTAAGAATATATAAAATACTGTGTTTATATTTTTTTTAAAAAGTGACCTATATTACCTCTCATCCTCCCTGTTAGGTTCATTTGTCACTTCTTATTTTCTACTTTAGAATTTTTTAAACAAAATCATTCTTAGACTTAAAAGAACTCATGGCAATTAAATTCAGCTACTAAAACCAAAACTAGAATACTGAATAGTAAAAAAAAAGCTTTGGCATTTCTTATGTTTTAAATTATTGCAACTTTAAAAAGTAAAACACTATTTTTTTATACTACACTCAATTTGAAGTCATGGTTAGGAAGGCCTCCTGTAGACCTGGAGTATGGAATTTGCCCTTGTTTTCTTTTTGGACCTTGGAATTGAGCTCAGGACCTTGCATTTGCCATGTAGGCGGAATGCCACTAAGCTACATCCCCAGCACCCTATCCACTTTTTCTTTACAGTACTTGCATTTCTTCACATGTTTTGGATCTACCTGGACTTTCTTCTTACATAAAGCATGAGACATAAACCTAATGACACCATATTCTAAATGACTACCCAGTTGGGCATGATGGCACAGCCCGGTAATTCCAGCACTCAGGAGTCTACAGCAAGAGGCACATTGTGAGTCTGAGGCCATCCTGAGCTACACAGTCCGTTCAAGGCCAGTCTACATAGTGAGACCCTGTATGAAAAAAAGATTCTGCTATCCCAGCACTCTCAGAGCTGTGACCCTACTCTGTATGAGGCTGTAACAGTGGAAATGTGCCATGAGTCTGGCTAAACCCACAGAACCCAGGACACTAAGCGTAACCACAGGGCCAGGGAACTGCAGTGGAAATGCTCCCTCCATTATAATAGCCCTACCGCTCTGCAGAGCACCCGAGAAGCCGCCAGCATCTCCTGCTCAGTTTAGCTGCCGTGGAGCTGACACTGCTCCGACACAATGCGTTAAAAGTTAACTATTGCCCCATTAATTTCTGTTCATTATGTAGCAAGTTTCCACATGAATAAAAATTTACTTCTGAATATGTGCATCTGCACACACACACACACACGTGCAAAGGGGTCTTTCTGGACATTACTCCTCTGGTCTGTCCATTTGGGCGCCTGCACCATATGCACTGATAACTAATTATACATTAGCTGATGTCTTTAGAAACCTGATAGGTCTGCGCTCCCTCATATTTTTTCCCTTTGGTGTTTCCACAAGAAAGGTTTCCTTTCAATTTCGTTACTGACTTCTACTTTTATTGTACTTTAACCTGAGAAACTTTAGTAGTTTTTTTTGAGGGGGTAAGAGAATTTTAATACTTCTCGTAGGGATTTGAAAAAGTACAAGAACATGAAAAAAAGCTTAGTACTTTAAGATCTAATTTCATAAAAGCATGTTGACAAATATTAAATGTTTTCTGCATTTAAACATTAAATATGAAATACAAAAATCCAGTGTTAATACTGATCTTCCATGCCTAATTGGGATTTAGATATTGGAGTAATTTACATTTTATTAAAGTAACTTTCAGGGCTGGGGAGACAGCTCAGCGGTCTAAGCGCCTGCCTGGCAATTGCAAGTACCCAGGTTCGATCCCCAGTGCCACATGCCATGCGTGGTAGCGCATGCCTATATTCCCAATGCTGGAGAGGCTGCGATAGGAGGATCACTATGAGTCCAAGCCCCATAGCAAGACCCTGTACCAAACAAATAACCTTTTAAAAAAACATTTGAAATTCATCAATGCTTTCTTTTATTGAATGCACTATCGCTCTTTGCTAAAACCATCACTGAAATTTAGAAAGCTGGTGTTAAGAGTAGTTACTTTTCAGGCTGGCCAGACAGATCATCAGACTAAAGTGCCTGCTTATGGGACTGGGATTCCCCAACACCAAGGAGTGCTGAGACCCGAATGAGACCGGGTGTGGTTCATGCCTGTAATACCAGTGGTTGGGAAGCTGAAAACAGGAGGATCACAAGAGTCCGATCTGTGTAGTGAGACCCTATACTAAATACACTTAAAAAAGAGAGTAATTTCTTTTCTTGAATATTTTGTAACACACCACTTTGTATTAACTTCACATTTTCAGAGAATGAAAGGTACATGAATAGAGTATCCAAAAATCTGTTTAACACAGGTTTTATTCATGATAAATCTTTTATATTGTAAAAGATAAAAAAGCATGCAAATATAAAAGGTGTCACGTCAAATTATTTCTTAGTACAAATAATACACTATGTCCAATTTCTCCATCAAATTCACAAAAGCCTTTAAAAAATTCTACTTTATAATTGTTAAACAATGCACTTAAGTGGTAGTTCTGTAATTCTGTGATGTATGACGCTTATGATGGTGCATCTTTTATAACATACTATGTCTCGTCTCGGATAATAGAGGTAGGAAGCACTTCCACACACATCATTCAGCTGTCACAGCACTGCCACAGCACTGCCCCGAAGGCATCACCGGCGAAGGAAGGTCTGAAACCCTCCCCAAAAGGAAAGCCTTCACTTGACTTGCAACCCTCAGAGCTGTACTTTTATAGCCACCCTTATAGGTGTAAATATCAAGGAAGAAAACCCCAGAGTACTTTTTTTTTTTAATTTTGGGCTTTTTCCTCCTACCTTCCGCACAGTTACTGTAACCCCACGGGGTCTTTTAAGTGTCTGCCGGATTCCTTGTGTTCTTGTGGCGTCTGGATTCCCTTGCAAAGTATAGCAAGAAAAACCACGTTCCCCACCTCAATACGTTCATGAGATTTGTTTTTAATGAAGCAACGGGCTGCAGTATCTGAACCACAGTGCAGCTTAGCTGGAACCCAGGACCACTGGAAGATTCCCGGGAGACTCCTGCTTCTCCTTTTGTCTGTTGCTTTTGCAATCTATTAATTCCTTCTGCTCGCGGACAAGGGCCGCACCCAAGAGGCCTGATCTAGGGCCCTACACTTGAGAAAACCCGGCGGAGGCGGGCCGGGGAGCCCCGAGAGCGGCAGGCGGGCCCCGCTCCTCGCACCCGGCTCGCCCGGTCCTCCTGGTTTCCGGGGCCAAGCGGCCCTCGAGCCCGCCGCCCGCGCCTTGTCCTACACGCTGGGCCCCAGCAACCGCGCTGAAGCCGCCGGAAAGGTTCGGGCGAGTCTCCTCCCGCGGCCCACCTGTGGGTAGAGGTGCTGCTTAAAGCGCTCCGCAGAGACGCCCTCGAGCCGAGGCACGGGCACGCGCTCCCCCGCCATCCTCGGCCGGCGCCTCGGAACTTCCGGCGCAACGCGTGCGTCCGCGCGTGCTCCGCCCGGAAACACCGCCGGGAGCGAAGGTCCGCAGAGCCCGGCTGGGCCGGGCTGGGCCGGGCAGGGCCGGGCCGGGCAGGGCGCGGCTGGGCCTGGGCGCGCGGCGCAGGACGCGCTGACCTCCGATGGCCGGGGCGACCGGCGGGCTCGCCAGGGGTGGCAGCAGCCGGCCCATTCAGCGTCTCTCCGGTCCCTTTCTTCCAGCCCCGCCGTTGCTTCCGTCCGGCTCGCTTTCGATGATGCCAAGCTCTCGGGGTGAAAGGTCACGAGCATGGCGCTGGCCTCTCGTCTGCTCCCGCGTCAGCTCCTCACCCGGTTGCTCCCCGGCGGGGCCGCCGGATTGCGGAACCCCGGGGCGGCCCCTCTGAGGCCGCTGTGGGCCGGGCTCTGCTGCTCGTGCCGCCGCCGCCTCGGCTCGGGGGCGGCGCTGTGTCCGCGCCGCCTGGGGCTCTGGCCCGCCCCGGGGGTCCCCGCATCCCTGGCCGCCGGCCCCGCGGGTCCCCGGCGCGGGTACAGCAGCGACGGGCAGCGCCCGGCGGCTAGCAGGATGATCGTCCTGGGCTTCTCCAACCCCGTCACCTGGGTGCGCACCCGCGTGCTCGCCTTCCTCATCTGGGCCTACTTCGACCGCGAGTTCAGCATCGCCGAGTTCTCGGCGGCGGCCCGGCAGGTAGGCCGGGCGCTCGGCTGTTTGTTTCCCATCCGCTCCAGGTTTTGGATCAAACGGTTCAAAGCCCGTTCCTGCCACATGGAAGCTATCCGGCCTTTTTGTGGCGTTTCCCCAGTCTGCACAGGGGAGACGCCAATACGTGACGCATCGTGGGGACTCCTAGATATGTGTTGGATAAATTGAGACGGGATTTTGGTGAGGCACGAGGTAACGTTTCAAAGCACCGTCAGGTCTCCGGTACAAAGGCAGAACTCCCGGCGGGCTGACGGCCCCACCCTCTCCCGAAGACGGAGCAGCCCAGCCTGCTTTGGTAGTTTGCTGGGACTCCCGGACCAGTCACCGATAATAAGCAGAGGACCCGGAGAAAACATTTCCTGTAGGTTTACCAGTTACAGCTCTGAACGGCTAGTGGCATGCGATGGTCACTTTGAATCTAGAGGTTATTTGGAGATTATGTGCGTGCACGTATTTTCTAGGGTAAAAGGGCATCAAAACTTCTCTACCTTTCTTTTCTCTTCCTCTTAAATGTGTGTGCGTGTGCGCGTGCTGTGAAATTGACCCCAGGACATTCATATTGAGCTACAACCCCAACCCTTTTTAAGGTTTGGTTTGGTTTGGTTTGGTTTGGTTTGGTTTGGTTTGGTTTGGTTTGGTTCGGTTCGGTTCGGTTCGGTTCGGTTCGGTTTTTGCCGAGCTGGGGATTGAACTCAGGCCCTTGCCCTTGCCAGGGAAGCGCTTATTCTACTGAGCTATCTCCCTGGTCCCGAGATTCTTATTTTGATACTGGGTCTCGCCAAATTGTCCAGGGTGGACCAGAACATGCGTTCCTCCAGCATCAGCCTCTGTCCACAGCCACACCTGGCTTAAATCTTTTTTTTTTTTTTTTTTTTGACTCTCTTTTTGAAGAGTTCTTCATTTCCAAACAGTACAGAACTATTGATTTAAAAGTAGAAGTCGTAGCTTATTTAGCAGTTACTGCCTGGATAAACTTTGTCATCACGGTGATTGTTTTATGGTTGACTGTGCTGATATCAGGATTTCTACTCCTGATTGATTCATTTCTTTCTGAAACCACAGTCACTTACATTCATGTGACCTGTTAGTTATGTTTTAAACTTTATGCATTCAGTGCCAATTTCTGTGTCAGTTCTTTATTATAAATCCAACTATAACTTGGTGAGTGTGCTGAACTCCACAGCATGATGGCAGGCAAACCTCTGCTCCCATCAGATGCCCACGTAGAGGTCGACTGGTGTGGTCGGCTGCTCTCCGCGGGCTGCTGTGTGTCCATCTGATCATGTGTACAAATATGACTGTCTCAGCACGTTTTTGTGTCAGCAAGGAATGAGATTGTCTCCCCACCGTGAGCTTCAGGAATCAAGCCACAAGTCTCATTTCTCAACACCAGAGGAGTTGAAGGCCTTTTTAAATCCCTTTCTGACCTTCCCTCCTTCATAATGCAACCTGTATGGTTTTTTTTTTTTTTTTTTTTTTTTTTTTTGCTTACCGTTTAATATTTTAGGTTCAAGTAACCATTCTCACTTTGAAAAAAAAGGGATCAGCTCTACTCCCTAGTTAATGATTCCCTTCAACCTGTGGCTCCTGCACTTATACCCTGCAGATCACCCATATCTGTTCTTCAACATCTATACAATGCCTGTGTTTTTATAAAAAGGACGTGGCCTTTTATAAAGTCTTCCATGTTACAGTGCAATCATACATTGCATTTTGTGTGTATAATTTTAGGGTTTGGGAATAATTGAGTGTAGATCAGCTAGTTTGTCTACTTTGTGAACTCCATTCTCCCTTTTTCCTTTGGCTGATCTCCCAGAAGTGTAGTACTGCTTTGTGTTGTGAATATCAGATGCAGCAGTAGTGGTAAACTTTTCAGATACTTACAAATTGTGGGCTAAAACCCACTTACTTATCACCAAGTGCCAGTACTCCAATTAAATCTAGGGTTTGAGTGTAGAAAAAAATGCCTATGTAAACATCTGTTGTCTTACAAGCACAATAGCATGCATGCTATTGGTTCACTACCCCTGAATTAGGCCATATTCGTTCGGATTTTTATTTTAATCATATAGCATAAATATTTTCTAGTGCGATCCTCCTTTATAAGTGATGAAACTTTAACCTTTTGGAAAACACCTAGAAAAGAAGTAGCCGGGGCAAATGTAGTAGTACTATAGTGACCTGTGTACGCCCTTGTTTATAGTGGTACAACTCAGTAGCTAGACTTGGAAGCGGCATAAGTGTCCCTCAGTGATACATGGCTAAAGGAAATGTGACATTTACATGTAATAGAGCAGTACCTGCCACAAAGAAGATAAACTTAAGGTATTTGTGGTAAAGTGGATGCACCTTAAAGACTACAGTGTTTTGTGACATGAACCAGACACACAAGCTTAAGTATCACATGTTCCTTTTTGTGAGAAACCCAAAGTATAAACAAATAGCAAAATAGAAGAGAGCAATAGGCAGCAGGAGGAAAGATCCTTCTGAGAAGGGACGGTGAGAGAAGAGGGTGCAAGTGGCACTGGGTGTGTCCTGTGCTGGTGGCAGCCCCACGCAGGAGTGCAGGCACTGTGTACTGCACACATGTCCTCGTGAGAACTGCAAAGCAAGCGAGGAAACTAAGCTCCAGAAAGGAAGTGACTGATCATGGTGCGTGGCCAGGGCACACTGTCCTGGGACTTGTCCTGAGACCATGAGCAAGCTTAGTCTGCCAGGGTCACCAGAGACTGAGACAGTCTCGTAGAGCACCTGTCTTGTGAGTGACAGGTCAGGATTCAAAGTTTCCCAGGTGCCTTGCCCCAAGCACTCTCCCTCTTGGCTTCCCAGACACCCTGCCCCCAAACTCTCTCCCCCTTGGCCCCATGCAGAGTCAAACCCAAAACCAAAAACAGGTCCACCTGACTTTGACCTGTGCAAACAACCACAAAAATCTCCTTTGTTCACATTAAAAGTCCCCCACAGACCAGGTAGCCTGCCAAGATTAGCGCTCCCTCAGCTGTTCCAGCCCGTGATCACCCTCCCTAAAAGATCCTATAAAGTCTCCTGTCCCCCCTTCATTGGCTGCTGTCTTGGTCTGCTAGATGGCCAGCCTGCTGGATGCCCCCAATAAATCTTATACTTGCATCAGAATGCCTGGCCTGCTTGACTGCATAGCCTCATACCTAATAGTGAATAGGGGAATAGATGGCCCCACGGAACCTACTTGCAGCTGGTCAGTGCATTTGATGTGGCATCATCTACTGTGGCCCTTAAGTTCCTGTTTTCTTCTAACCTTCTTGTACATTTTAGCTTTCCCTGTGCAAGGGCAGGTTCTTAATGGTTCCTTGGTGCTCTTCAGGATACTGCGCTCAGGCTCCGCCCCCTTGTCACAAATGTGGGACTGATGGTTGGGTATCAACATGATAGTTTTGGTCATTTCTTTTGCCCAAATTATTGTCTATCTCCCACATAAGATAGAAAGCTTACCAGGACACACAGTATCTCCAAGCCCTGGGAGCCTCTAAAGTGTTTTTGTACAAAGAGTCCTTGAATCCATTTGGGTGTCTGCAGTATCTCAGATTCATCTTCATTATTGTGTTGTTACTAGGGCTGTTTAGCAGAGCCCCACAGACTGTCTTAAATAGGGCTTCAGCATTAAGGTATCAGATGCATGGGTTTCTCCCAAGGCTTTTCTATCTTGCAGGTTCATGTCTTTGCATTTCTTCGTGTCCCTGTGCCCTTCTTACAAGGACACCAGTCACATTGGATTGGGGACCCCTGCAATAAGCTCACTCTAACTTAATCATTTCTTTAAAGGCTGTATCTCCCAATGCAATTGCATTCCAAGATACTGGAGGGCAGGGCAGCCATGGGGCTGGGTGGCACAGTTCAGCCCATAGCATTGTGCTGTGTCCGCTGACTGCACCTCCTTTCTCCTGCCAGTACTTTGGTTTCCTGCTTAGGTGTTACTTTCTTTAAGAAGCCTTTCGTGGCCCTACCAGGAAAGGAGGTAGGTGGATCTTCTGCACGCCCCCAGTTCATCATCTTGTTCTTAATCCTGTCTTGTTTCTTGAATTTGTCAGTAGACTTTTCTTCCTCCCCTCCTGAAAGTTGGGATCTTAATTTATAGTTTGTTTCTCATTGCTATGAATGTGCAAGATCCTCTTTAAAATGTGACCTCACTTCAAAGTGGGGAATTCCCTATTTTGAACTATAAACTTCTCTTTTTCCCCACTTTCTCAAACATAGCTGTCTCTCTTAATGAGACACAGACTGCAGCCCAGACTCCCAATTCAGCCTAGCCCAGCGATGGTGAGCCTTTCAGAACTTTCACGATCCAAATGTCCTGCTGCAGCAGCGTGCCATAGGTTCACCACTGCTGGTCTAGATAGTCTCCTGCTTCCTAACTGATACCTATACTTAAGAGGTGGGCCATAGGTTAGTTAATGATTTATCATTATTTTGAAACAATGTATGAAAGAATATATATTTTTCATTGAAGCATCTACTGATCTGCTGTATATTCCATACTGTTATTTCCCAGATTCCAAGAGTAGATAATTAGCAATGCTCTGTATGTGGAGAGACCTTCCTAAGAAATGTCAGCTAACTTCAAAGGAGTCTCAGCTAACATTGGTGCATTAGTACTTGACGTTATTTATCACCTTTGCTCTAAAATAGTCTTCGTTACATTTGGCCATTTAAGTTTTAACACTTGTTATTTCAAACTAGTAGTCAGCTTATTATACCCAGCTGAATTAAACTGTCATAGTGCCTGGTGCAGGAGGCCTACCTGAGAATTATTGCCAGCAGCATAAGAGGCAGAACTGGAGAAGCTGCCAAAAAATGCTGTTGGGGATGCTGTTTAGAGAAGCTGTTGAAGCTGTTGGAAGCTGCTAGTTCTCTTGGGCTGTTCTGCTGGAGGACCTTGTTGTGCTGGCTTTCCCGATGAACTTGGGAGGAGCTCTGGTCCTCATCCTTAGCATCACTTCCTGGCTCCAGAGGGGAAGATGGTGCACTGCTCAGCCTCGTGAAGAAGCTTGTTATGTTGGCTTTCCCAGTAGGAACTTGGCTTTCCCCATCGCTGAGGGAGCCCAGGTCCTCACTGTTACTGAGGATGTGATACTTTTGGGGGAGCTCTGGTGCTTACCTTGAGCGTTGCTCCAGTTCAGAACCCTCAGCCTGCTAGCACAGATCCTTCATCCTGCTGGCATAGACTTCGTAGCTTCCATCACTGACCTTTGGACCTATCTGGCACAGAGAGTTCTTTAGTATTTAGTATGTGGATAGATTTCCTGTACTTGTCTATGATTCTTAGGTGATTCCTTATAAACTACTATTATGAAATGTGTCCTGTATTCTATTGTTCCCCTTGCAAAAACCCCAAACCATGACAGCATTGCATGGCATTTTGTATAATATTTTGAAATAATTGTTCCCTTCCTCCTATTTTTTTCAAGGCTTTTGCTCATGTGTCCAAATTGCTGTCACAATGTAAATTTGATCTACTGGAAGAACTTGTGGCCAAAGAGGTACAGTATACTTTCCCCCCTTTACTTGTGATTGAACCCAGGGCCTTGTGCATGCTGGGCAAACACTATACCACTGAACTCTGTCCTTTTGTTTTTTTTTAATTTTGAGACAGCCTTACTAAGTGGTCTAGGTTGACCTTGATGTAGCCATCTTCCTCCATAGCTTCCCAAGAAGATGGGGTGGCATGTACCATCATTCCTGACTTAAAGAATACTTTTTCCTTTCAAAATAAGAATGTACACCTTCAAAATCAGAATATACACCTTCTTCTGCAAGAAAGCTAAAGTACATAAGATTTCAGTATTAAGGTATCAGATGCGTGGCTCTCCCAAGGTTTCTCTGTCTTGCAGGTTCATGTCTTTGCATTTCTTTATGTCCCTTCTGCAAGAAAGCTAAAGTACATAGCTTTCTTGCAGAAGAAGGTGTATATTCTGATTTTTGCTTTAAAATAGTGTGTGCATACCAGTGGCTGAAGTACAGTCTGCTTGAGCACTTTGTGCTATGTAAGAGCTGGAATGAGTCTAGCTACTGCAGATTTAAGTAAATATGCTACTTTCAGTTGCTCTTACATATAATGTTTTTATTTTTTGTGAATTTAGGACAGGGTGTACAGGGTCTCACTACAGGAATCATAATGATTCTCCTGTTTTCAGCCTCCCGAGTGCTGGGATTACAGGTGCACGCCATCACACCATCTCAGTCACTGTCTCAGCACGCTCCAGGGGCAGGGCCAGCATGGCAGGCCAGGGATCAAACCCTGGTTGCTGTGCTCTGCTGAAGCAGGCACTTTAGTCTGATGAGCTATCTGGCTGGCCCATATATAATGCTCTATTAGGAATTACCTATGTGAATTACCTTATCTTTGAAGTTGAGAAGACAGTGTAGTAAATTTAAAAGTAGACTTAGAAAAATTCATTCCCTGGTAAAGATCATTATTTTCAGTACTTTGAAAGGCTTAGTTGGTGACTAACCATTTGTTTCTCTAACCTTAGGTGCTGCCTATATTGAAAGAAAAGGTTACATCACTGCCTGATGACCACAGAAGTGCGCTTGCTGCCGACTTAGATGAGATTGTCTACACGTCAACAGGGGACATCTCCATTTACTACGATGAGAAAGGTAATGTGCGCAGTCAGCTGTTGAGTGACCAGAGCCCCCAGTGAGCAGGCTGTGCGTCCTCCCTGCCCAGGCCAGTGCTCACAGCACTTCAGAGGAGAGGACAGGTTTTTCTCTGAGGGCGGGGTATGTGGCAGTGGCCCTGATGTTCAGACCCTCTGTGTACTGCGCTGTCCCCACACAGGAGAGAGACCCTGCGTGCTGGTTGAAGTAGTTTTCTCAGGACAGGCTGCTCCCAGACCTCACATTGAACATGTTAGAAGGAGATACTTGAGCATTTTAAATTTTGAGCTGCATAATCTATGGAAGGAGTAACGAGTGAAAGAAAACCAGTATAGATTGGTTTTGGGGCTAAACACAAAAGTTAGAAAGAATTTTAGTGGTTATCTACTTTTTTGTGCAATGTGTATGTTCCTCTTGGTACATTGATTGATAGAGCTATGGGTTGTGAATACATAGCTCTTGTACCATTATGTGTCAGGCATGTAGCACATGTTAATCCTTCATGTGTGTCAGCTCTCGTGTTGCTTGACACAGAACCTGATACCCCCAACTTAAAGGAGGAGAAATCTCATCTCGGGGATCATGTCCCAAACCCATGGCTGGAGGGAGCAGCGGATCACAGCTGCTTCAGTTCTGGCTGCTGGGAAGTAGATGGGGGTGGGGAGACAGGTCCGAGGAGGGGTGAGAGACTAGGTAGGGATGGTGCCAGAGCCCTCCTCTGTGACCCACTAGACACAGCTGAAATGGGTTTTAATTCTCTGCGCAGTTCCCAAACTGGTCACATTGATGTAGTCGAGCTTGATGGTCACATTTCTCCAGGCAGTGATGATAGAGGACCCATGGTTAGAGAACCTCCCATTATGTATTACTTTGAAACATTTGTAAATGTCTTTATATTTTCAGCACCGTGGTTATTAATTACTTTTACATAGGCTGTCAGAATTGCTAGGCATAGGGGGACCATGTGGGATAGACTAGAAGCCTGCCTTCCTGAGGGCAGCTGGGGTAAGTACTTGCCAGCAGAACTGGTTCTTTTTTCCTTTCTGTCACTGCAGTAAGTAACTGTTGTCAGACTATTACAGTTTTAGAAAGTGGCTGTAAATCAAGAGTAGCCACGTGGCACACGTAGCAGAGTGTGTGCTCCACAAGTAAAGGCGCTGTTAGTAAGCTGCAGAGGATTTGATCTTAGCAGCAGTGCAGCTGCTGCACATTGCTGATTGCAGCATGGCCCTGTGCACGATGGATCACTGTGACTTACTCTTGCGTGTGTTTTTTCTCTAAGGAAGGAAGTTTGTTAACATCCTGATGTGCTTTTGGTATCTAACCAGTGCCAACATCCCCAGCGAGGCTGTCCGTGGAGCCAGTGTGTTCCAAGTTAAGCTGGGGGATCAGAATGTGGAAACTAAGCAGCTTCTTAGTGCAAGTTATGAGTAAGTGTAACGCGCGTCGCTGTTTCCTCCCTCCAGAGAATGGAAGAGTGTGGAGGAATGAAAACGAAAGGGAGCTTTAGGAAGAAAAGGATGGAAATTTGACAAGTTACTTATGAAGAGAAAGGTCATAGACAAACTGGATGTGAAACAGAAGTATTAAGAACTTAGGAAGAGGTAATACTCTAGTAGGGCTCGGCTCTCTGTCGCTGTGTAACCATCCACCCTTACGTGCTGGCCAGTCTAGCAGCCACTCATCCTGCCTCTGGCTGCTGCAGGAGCTCAGTTCTGGGCTTTTCTCCACCTCACCAGGGCACGAGGAGCCATTTCTATGGTGGCTTCTCCCCTCTGGTGTGGTCCCTGGTGCTCCGTGGCTTCTCCATGCCTCCCTCTATGTCACCGCCTTTTGTGGCTTGGGCTCTTGACATTTTTCTCTCAGTGACTTGATGCCAGGAGGCAGGAAATGGAGGCTGCTAGGCCTGTCCAGGGATATGCCTAGAGTTTAAGCAGTGTCATTTCCACCATCGTCTTCTGGCCACAGCAGTCACAGGGCCTACACCATCCAGAGTGTGTGAAAGAGACTGCTGCTGCCAGGCATGGTGGTGCAGGCCTGCAGTTCAGCACTGGGAGGATCGTTGTGAGTTCAAGGCCAGCCTGGGCTTCGTAGCATGTTCCAGGCCAGCCTCGAAGCCAAGAGGAAAGTGAAATTGAGAGCACTGCCGTGTGGACCACCGAGCAGCAAGGCCACACTCCAGAAGAGCGCGGGATGGGGCGGCAGTCAGCACTCGGCACAGGGCCATGTCCCGCTGTCGCCTGTGTGCCGAGTACTCTGTAGGGATTAGGGACTCATACAGTACCGACGGGGTACACCCACAGTCCTTGTAGTAGGAAGTTAGCAAATTAATTTGTAAAAACATATCTCTGTGCAAAGACACTTTGGAACAGTGAACAACTGAACAATTCAGTGGAGACATAATTTTTAAGAAGGAATATTATATGACATTGCCAAAGTTCTAGAAATTAGCTTAATGTAACAAATCCCAAAAATGACCGAGAAAGGAAAATGAATTGTTTCACTAAAGTACAAGAAATTATATATACTTTTTTTTATTCCTCCAAAGAACGGTATTTTTTAAAAAAAGAATTTGCTGTCTTTTAATTCAAGATAGCTACATATTTAAATACTTATTTAGTTTAAATCTGTTGATTGTCTCTCTCTCTCTCTTTTTCTTTTGGTACTAGGGATCAAACTCAGGACCTTGCGCTTGCTAGGCAGGCGCCTGTGCTGCCGGGCTAGCTCCCTGGCCCTTGATTGCTGCTTTTTAAAGGCATCTTCACATTAAAGATTATTATCAGCACTGAACTATGCCTTGCCATGTTTCCTTTTCTAAGGCCTAGGGCAGCTCAAATAGACTGATCTTACTGAGTTCAAGGTTTAAAAACCAAATCCAGTACTTGTAACTAAAGTGGCAACAGTGTCACTTTAAAAGGGCTTTTCTTGTGTGCTATTTTTTATACTGAAAGTGCTGTTTGGATTACTAGGGTGCAGTTTATATCTTCTTTTACTAGGCTTAAGCATGTCTGTTAGCAGGTGTTTATAACAGCGTCACCTTCAGGTTTTGCATAGAAGGGGCTGACTTTGAATGTAGATCAGCCCATGAGAACCTCTAGGCGGGGCTGCAGCATGCTCAGAGGACAGCACTGGCTCCATACGTGCAGGCCTGTTAGTGCCCAGCACTGCCAGAGCAAAGCTCAACTCAGAATGGACTTCGGTTTTGAGGAGTATATTTTGTGATTTTATTGGTAAATTAACCTTTTTCAATTTTGATTATTAAAGTACCTTACTGTTAAAAATCCTTCTGATACTTGCAGTCTGCATACTTAACCGGAATACACTGGGCCAGTGTGAGAGTCACATTATTCCTAATGTTTTTTGCTAGATTTCAGAGGGAGTTCACACAAGGAGTAAAGCCTGACTGGACCATTGCACGGCTTGAACACTCAAAGTTACTCGAATAATCTTCCTTGGAAAAAACAGCATATGGACTTTTAGCAACTGCTGTGAAAAACTAAGGAAGAAACACTTTGGATCATGTGTTCTTCAATTAATCAAGTCTGTGGATTACTTTTGTATTAGTTTGAGATCCACCTTACACTGTTTTGGAATGGTACAATAAAGCATTTTCCACAGATCTGTTACCACCTTCTTTAATAGAGGATAAAGAAAAAAGAACTACAACACCACCACATTATTGGTGTCATATTTAGTATTATTTCCAATATTCTGTCTGCACACATATGAATTAGTATTTTAGACCTAACAAGGTACTGAACTACTTACATGTCTTTAAGTTAACAATTCTTGAAGGTTTTATTGTGGCCAACACACACCATTAATCCAGAAATGTGTAAGACTTGCTTTTAAAAACCTGCGCTCTTCAATACTTGGGGTTACTAGCTGGAGGAGGAGTAGCCAGGCCTCCAGCTGGCTGACCCATGCAGAGAGCGCTCTTGGGATTGCAGCACGCAGAAGTCCTGGGGAAGCGCTGCCTCAGCCGCCTGTGGGAAGCACCACTGGGCCTGACATGCTTGCATTTGGAGTCCTAGAGGCTGGCGCAGGGAGACAAAGATAGAGCCCTAAGAAAAGCAGGCCGAAGGATGTCCTCATGATGAAAGCCCTAAACCCCCAGATCCAGGAAACTCGAGGTAGCCCAGTCTTGTCAAGGTGCATTATAATGAAATGACTCAAGCCAGCCAGATCGTCAGAGCAGCTGGAGCAGACAGACCGGACACCGCATGGACAAGAACCAGGGTCAGGGCGGCGCGCGGCCACCCTGTGGTGCCTGTGCTACCAGCACCTGGATCCCATGTGCGAGGCCAGCCTGAACTGTGTAGCGAGACCTCATCTCCAAAACAAAACCAAAGAAGTGCCTGCATATTTTTTTCTCAGATTGCAAGTGAGAGATGTTAGTGTCACATCTTTAAATGCTGAAAGAAAAATAACCTGTTGATGAGAATTCTACCTTTAGTAAAAGGAATCTTCAAGAAAAGAGGTGGGAAGAGCCTTTTCAGAGTGAGAAGTTTTCGCTGCTCAGCGTTGTCTCAAGAACTGTTCCAGACTGACGAAATGGACTCACAGGCGTGGACAGTTGAGCTTTGACAGTGGAACCAAGAAATTCAGCAAGCAAAAGTCTTTTCAATAAATGGGATAATTATAGGTTCGTGTGGGAAGTGAACTTCTACTCTTGCCTCCTGCCACATGTGATTGTAGTGCAAAATTCAGATTAGAGAGGCTCACAGACCTAAGCAGCTGATACTGACAGTGTAGAAGCACTTTGCTGCCTGAAGGTAGGTGAGACTCCCTTGGATGCGGAAGGCGAGAACCATGGAAGACACCCAGCGCTGCATGCATCACCCCATCCCCACTGTGAGGTGGTCTCCCCAATAATGGGGCACCCCCAAGACAGCCCTTGGGGAGACTTAGTCTAAGTAGTAACTGGGGAGACCACACATGCCTCTTGCCATGTGAGTGCTCTCAGAAGGCCAGAATAATTTCAAAGCAAAAGTTTTCTAAGAAAAGTTACAGAAAAGTAAGATGAAGTGATTATTTTTATGAATAATCTGTATTCCATTTTATGAATAATCTGTATTCTATCTAATACTTATTTTCGTTAGTTTCACCTAATCTTAGATAAAATGGAGAGGTACGTTTTACTAAAACCTAAAGCAAAAAAATGATCACAGCCTTAATTCTCGATGTGTCTCCAATTGAAGAGTTTTCCCGGATAGGGAGGCCATGCCTTCAAATCGTGTAGTTTTGTTCTCTGCACCTCAGCAAAGCAGGGCAAGAGTATGGTGCCCACGTGGCATTCCTAGTGTTTTCTCAGTAGAAGCAGTCGGTCTGTGTGAGGGAGGGCTTCTAAAGAAGCAGGATCAATAGAAATATGCAGTTAACACAAGGGGCTCACTGGCTTGGCTTACAGGGTCCGTGGCACACATGCGCAGTGGTTTGGCAGGGTGTACAAGCCATCTGTGGCCGCAGAGCTGGAGACCTGTAGCTGCGCAGCCGTAAGAGGCAGAGGCAGGGTGGGAGGAATCGCGGGTACCACTCCAGGACAAGGGCAGAGGCCTGGGAACTGATGGGAGTCATGGTGAGACTGGAGATTAACGTGCACAGGTGATGGCTGGCCTGAAGCTGTTCCCAAGTGAGCACGCAGCCTGCCTCCTTTTCATCCAGGCTGCAAGCCTGCAGCTGGTGCTGTCCACGTCCGGGTGAGTCCCCATCTTGCAGGCCTGCATGCCCGCCATCCAGCCCCCCAGGGCTGGGTGTGGCTGGTCTGCCAGGCCTTTCTTAATCCGTTCAGGTCTCCGGATCATGATTGCAGTCACACGGTCTCAAGTCACTGCGCAGTGGGCAAGCCAGATTCCCCAAGAGATGCCCTAGAGAGAAGGCAAGGTCACCACCAAAGGGAGCTCGAATACAGCTAAAAGTGCCACAGAAGCTAGCGGGAAGGGCTGCCACGTGGGCAGCCGAGCCGCATGGGCTCAGGGAGAGCCGTGGCTGCCCAGGCCAGTGTGCTGCACCTCAGCCTTGGAGAGTGCTTCGCTCCTCATGAACACTGAGCAGGGTGTGGCAACGGAAGTCGTTAAGGCACAAGATTATGTCATTGTCGAGCATGTACCAGTGTCCTGTGTGTGCAAGATTGTTCCAGATGTGGACTGCGGCACAACAAACACAAAATTCACTAGCTTAAAACACTTGTTTTACTAATAGGAATTTGGAAATTAGGCCTGGTTTGACTTAGCTAGGTTCTTGCTTCATGTCCCACTGATTAGGGTCACATGTTCCATTTGATCCTGTCAAGGTTTTTGTTAAACTTCATTAGCATCTGTGTAGAGTAATTTTTTCTCCACAAAGACTTTAGTCCTATTATTCAGGAACAGCATTTGTGGGCTCTGAGATGCCCGGAGGTTGAACAGGACAAGCTTCTTCTACATGACCAGGACAGAGCACGAGTCCCAGGGAGCGGAGGGCTTCTGGGCACTGTTGTGCTCACAGTGCTGCATTATGCTCGGCTTGGCTTCTGTCTCCACACGTGCTCAATGTCTCGGTATGTGTCCCCCCCAAATAAAGATCCTGTAGAGCCATAAAACATCAATTATTGCATAATATTATCTAATATTTGTTACATTAAAAATTCCATCAGTTGTCTTTTAAAATGACTCTGCAATCCCTTCAGAATTTACACATCATATTGGGCTGTTATGTCTCTTTAGTCCTGTTTGAAAACCTATTCAACCCCTCACCCTCTGGTACAGCAGGATGGTCTGGGGTTTTTTTGTATTTTATTATATTTAT